CAATGAAGTTTTTACCTTTAGCTACACAAATCACTCTATAATTTGTCAATCTGGCCTTCCACATTCTGTAGTGCAAACAACTGCTTTTGTAAGTTTGACTTCTCTTCCTGTTATCTCTTAAGAAATGCTTTGTTTCCCTATAGCACAAAAAGACTTTCAGTTGATCCAAAAAGATAATTGGACTGCTGCCCTGTAAAACAGAACACGCACATTATCGCCTTCATAACAGAAGAATAAAAATATTATCTTATTAATAAAAATAAATTTTCCCTATGACCAACTAACAGGTCAGGACCATAAAGATGCAAAATAAGTTTGGGCTGCTTTTTCCTCCTTACCAATTTGCAACACAGTTGTTTTGAACTGATCTGCACATAGAACTAAAACAAATAACTGAATTAATCCTCTAAAAACAATTAAGAAAGGAATTAACATCTGTGAAGGACAAGAATTTACAAAAGGGCAGATGAAAAGCAAAGAAAATGCAATATCATTACAGTTTGAGTAAAGTTCTACCCTTCAATTGTCAATAATAGCTGACATCAGTAAAGTAGATTGAATACCTTCCCTTTTCAACTTTAAACTCCTAGGAATTACATTAAGCTTTAAGAATATGTAATTAATACCTTTCCATACTGGGCTGGGGGTAAATCTTTTATATTAACACTTCAAAATCGTGAGAACGAAATGCTGGATTTGGATTTGTTTCTCATGTTGGGACAATAAAGTGTTAAAAGCTTCATGTATGCTATTTTAAAAATTATCTGTGCTGACATTTTCATTTGCTGGTATTTATCTTTGTGTTCTGGTCTTGCAGGGTGGTGGTTTGATGCATGTGGTCCTTCTAACCTCAATGGAATGTATTATCCGTTACGACAGAACAACAACAAGTTCAATGGTATTAAGTGGTACTACTGGAAAGGCTCGGGATACTCTCTCAAAGCCACGACTATGATGATTCGACCAGCAGATTTCTAAATGCTTTTGCATTCTTATGTGAATTTTGTATTGTATAGTCTTCAAAGACTTTACTTGCCAAGCATATAAACACATCTGCAACTCTCATTTTCAAGCCCAGAAAACATGCACTAGCATTCTGAAGAGATCAGCTCATTCCAATCCTTGAATTGCAATAGTCTTGATCAGTTAAAGCGCATATTATTCAACTAGACACAAAGCCTAAGGCACCAACCCGATATAACAGTGATTTGGCCAAATGACTGAATAAAAAGAATATCCAAGAAACTGTCAGACAACTGAAGGACTGTGTTTTACTGATCATTTATATTATGTATGTGTTAGTGAATAACTGGAACTGTGAAAAATATCTAAAATAGTTTTAGAAATACGCATTTTGCCTCGTCACTGAACTTCAAACATTACCCTAATATAAAACTTACCTAGATCTAGAACTATTTATCTCTCTGAGTATGTTTGCTGTTTATGTACATAAAAATATATCGTTCTGTAATTAGCTTAATATAGTACTTAATACATTCTCTCCCCCATAGCCTCTTAACTTCTTACACTTGTTCAGGGATTTTTTCCAATAGTTTGTATTACTTTATTTAACAGAGGACTTTGCATTTATTCTTGGAAAATGCCATGTACAAAATCACTATTTTTTTCCAGTTTTATTGATCACTATCTTTAATTTAGAAAAATCCCTGCAAGTTATAATATAGTATGAGTTTCTTTACATTGTTCTGATGGTTGCACTTTTTTATTTTCTTGTCAAGTATCCATAAAATAACTGACCAGTATTTTATAAAGGGAGACAATAACAGTAACACCAGATGCCTGATTGCCTATCACAATCAGTTATCACATGGTACCATGGTCCATCTAAAAATTTTGTAAAAACAATCTAAAAACTATGTGGATGTTCTTTGATGCAATTCAATTTATGCTTGTGTCGTAAGAAACAAATTAGTACATTTGAAAAAACAGGAAAAAAATATGAAGGTTACCTAAGAACATAATGTTGGTTTGTTTTTTTTTTTTTCCCCCTCCTCAAAATTCTCCATGAAGAAGTAGGCCCTCTGTGTATGACACAATGTGAATAAATTCATCTATTGGGTAACATTTGCTTTTTCTTTTTTTTTTTTTTTTATTACATTTCATACTGGAAGTCATTAAAACTGCTATCAGAGTACTCTACCACTTGCAACACCACCTTTCTTCTTCACCAAAAATGTATATCTCCACTACTAAGGAGTATCAGAGATAAAAAATACTCTCAATATTACCTCATGAACTGATTCTAAATAAATTTAATAAATGTAAATGAACAATCGTCATCTGAAGAGTTGCGCACAATAATCTCAATGCATCTAAGATCACGGTTCAAGTAATTTATTATTTCTCCTGGAAACTTTTAAGGATATACAGATGTCAGTCTAAAGAACACTTCACAAAATTAATTTCTTAGAAATTCATGAAAGTAAAGACCAATCTAGTAGGGGAGCTACAGCATATGACATACAAAAAAGAGATGGCATTTTTCTACCTGGACCAGAGAAGGGGAAGGGGAGACCTTACTGCTGTCTACAGCTATCTGATACAGAGAAGACAGAGCCAGATCCCTTCTTGGAGGAGTACTGTAGTGGAACAGTGAACATAAATTGGAATTTGGGAAATTCTACTTAGCAGGACTTCTATTTATTTGTTTAATACCATGAGGGTGGACCAGAAAAGTCCATGAGTATCTTCATCTAATTAGATCTGCTTAGAACAGGGCATTGAACTACCTAATCTAGGATATTTTATGATTCCATAAAATTGGGATGGAAAGAACATGCTTCCTCCCTCACTGCATTTCATCAGACGACTAAAGAAAATACTCCCAATATTTGCGACAATAAACATACACACTCAGCCCAATAATCTAAAAAAAATCTTCTAACAAAATGTAGTGGAGTCTGGCACAGTACGCATGCTTAACCTGGCCAAGAAAAAAGATGCCAACTTCTGATTATTAAATGTCATTGTTTTAGTAAGAAAACAAAGGTACAAAACTGTACACTGCATAGTTAGTTTCAATTTGCTGGGGAAAAACATGAAGCAAAAGGTTCCTTCTGACGACAGTTCATCAAAGATGCTGAGATAGATCTTTAGCAGATCAATTGTTTAACAAGACATTTAATTAATTTTTAAAATATAATTATAGAATGGCCAGGATTGAAAAGAACCTCAAGGTCATCTAGTTTTAACCTGTCTGCCATGGGCAAAGTTGCCAACCATTAAACTAGAGCAGTTATTCATTAACATGAATGTAAAATTTTAGAGTAAGTTTTACAGTGATATCATCACATTATCTAAATGAGATTGCATTGCTTAGAAATATCAAAGTAAAGAAAGAAGAAGATATTTTAGAAAGAATACTATAGGAAGATGACTGCAACAATTTCTTTGGATTCGGTGCAAACAATCAGAATACATCAGTAATATAACCCCTTCTTTACTTCCTGCTTGTAATCAAATAAACAGTACATAGAAGTAGAATACCCTTTCATTTTCCATATTGCTTCTTAAGAAATAATAAGAAAGGACGTCTGAACTCCATCCAAGCTTATATTATGATCTTATCTTTAAATATAAGGTATCTATTACAGTTGACTCCAGAATGACTCAAGAAAGGAATGATTGGGAAGGTGATGGAAGTATGACTTTCAACACCAACTTTGTTCCTCAACAGAAGCACCCTGCAAAAAAGCAATGCATACATCCTTCAATTTTATCTCCTCACCATCTCTCCACCCTTCTGAAGTTCTGCATTGGGAATAAAAACTGTAAACAGAATCCAGAAACTGACACCAGCTGGAATCACTTCCAAAGAATGCCGTGCAAGTTGTTACTGATAACATACTTAGGAGACAAGGTGGTCTGAGAAGAAACAGAAAACTCAAAGCAGCTTGGCCTGAAATAGTGTTGGGGTTTTTTTTTGTACAAATGCAGAAAAAATGGAAAAGAACATGCTAATATATTCTTCACATTAAACACTGCCATTCATGTATTTGCTATATAAAAACTGAATTCTTCAGGAAAATATACAAAATTGTAATCGATGATTAATTTCTTTGGGCTTATTTCAGGAAAACTATTACAGATTCCCTACACTTTGAGAACTTAGAGCTTAAAATCATGAAATAAAGACTTCACCTTGAACACATAAGTTTACAAAAATATACAGACTTAGAAAGAACATTTAAAATAACTCCTTAGCAGTCAATACAACTATGGTAGTAATAAAATTCAACCTCAATTAAATGTTCTTTCTTCAAAGCCTGTTAGAAACTTTGAGAAACAAGTAGCAGATAAGAAAATATTTATCTAGCTGCAACAGTGTAATAGAAAATGTGAAAACTTTTTGACAAACTTACAGCAATCAACTACTAACCTGCTAAAATATTTTATATCCAAAATTAAATTAGTGTCTAATCCACTACAACATGTGCAGATACACTTAGATCTGCACAGATACATCACACTTCAACAAAAACACTTTTGCATTAGTTTGTAACACAGTACTGTGAGAATTAAAGACAGGAAAAAAAAGTTTTAGAAGCCTACAGTAATTTTACACCCTCAAAGTCATTTCCGGACTGAAAACATTGACACCATGACCTGAGACATCTCATAAGGCAATAACATCTCTCTCCAGTATCTCATTCAAGTGAAGATAGTAATCAAATAAGCCACAAATTAAAGTGCATTTGTACTTAAGAAAGAAGCAAATTGATTCAATTTTTAACTGGTGAATCAATCTTTTGTATTTTCTATGCATACCAAAGGCTTTGCAGAATTCTCTAGAAGTTAGTGGTTGTACACACTTCAAAAAGTACAAGACGATGTAGAAAATAACTCCTTGCCGCATTTTCTTTAACAGTTTGGTTTTTTTTTCTATCTGCCATTCTCACTCACAAAACCTGTGTACAGGGCAAATCATTTCTCAGAGAAACAAAAGAATGTTAACAAGCTTAAAGGGCAATTAAACTTACAGGAGCAGCTGGGAAGTTGGAAGAAAGTTCATATGGTTCCTCCGAGATCCAGTGCCCAAATTCCAAAGAACTCAGAACCTAAAATAAATCAAATAATAAGTAGAAAACCTATAATTTCTAAAAAAGCAAACCATTTGAGTTTATTAAAGAAATTAATAATGCAGTTACAATAGATAGCTTGATATTTTTTTTTTATTAAAATAAAATGATTCTCTGTAAAATCAAGCAATCTCAAAGTATGAATAAATCAAATGATGAAAATACCTGTCATATTTCTATGTATAGCCACATTACACTTCAATACCTTGCAAGGATATTTATTAGAAGAGTCAACTTTTTGCATTATTATATATCACATTAGAATAAAGATTTGAAACAGGAAGTCAAAAGGGAAGAATGTCAACATTTCCCATATAATATGAGTTATGTTCTCTTGATTCAATTGATTACTGAACATCATGGGGCCTCCCTGTTGCTTCATTTCTCCAGCCTGTCATGGTTGTTCTGAATGGGCACACTCTTAGAGTATATCAAACACTCTTCCTTGCTTTGTATTATCTGCAAGTTTGCTGAGGCTTCCCTCCATCCATCATCTAGATCATAACTGAAGATGTCCAATATCAACTCCTACTACTGACCAGGATTACACAACATTCTTTTCAGCCTGAAAAGAAGAAAAGCTGACTTTCTCTTTGCTAACTTCCTTTGCCAGCTGTACATTATAGACTGCAAATAAAAAGGTTCCTACCATCACAGAGTACTGACTGTCTGGAAAATACACAATCGTTTGCATTTGACTGAGCTCTGAAATGCTGGGTGAATGTGACCCTTAAAGATTTGTGATCCTAACTCTTTGGACAAGTTTCAGACTTCTGTTCTTAATCAGGGCCATCACAAGATGGATAACTTAAAAAATACTTAATACTTAATGAATACTTAATCTATGCAGGGACATTTTTTTATCTACCTTGGAACTCCTTCTTGCTTGTATAGAAAGTTTCTCTACTGAGGTGATGAGCAAGTGAATATAGTAGTTGAACTGTGATCTCATTCTAGGTATCTTTTACCAGCTGCTTAAAATGGTTGTTTTCAATCACTGAAATAAACTTTTTTTTTTTTTTTTTTTTTTTTTTTTTTAAGTAAATTTTTTTTTTTTACGTTTTTTTTTTTCAGTGATTTTTAAAAATATATATATAATTTTGGGTTGCAGATTGTAATTTCAAAAATCTTGCAAGGAGTGTTCAGTGACTACCCTTCCATTGTTAAGAGGACTATCCTTACAGTTCCTACCATGGTTTTGCCTTGATGTCATATCAATGGTGTTTTCCTACTGATTTCTGGATAACCTAAATTCTAGAGGGCACGGTGGTGGAAAATTTTATTTTCCTCAGTGGCTTTTTCAGCAAGAACTGATGCCACAGAGCTTCCCATATGTGTAAAAGACCTGTAAATTCTTTGCGAAATTGTTCCCAATCACACGATTCAACAACCTTACCCTTTTACAGATACTCTTATTTCCCAATACCGTTTCTGTAGTTACCATTTGGCAAGCCTTAATTACAGGTCAAAAAAAATTACGATCCACCAATGACAATCTATACATTCAACTTTAAAAATATAACTACTTAATACCTACTGCTCCTACAGCAACAAGTAGCATTATGTTAACAAGAAATATATAAATACCGAAAAAATAGGGTACATGGATTTTCATGAGAAGGTAAATCCATGTGCTTGGGATCATTTCCCACTTGCATAATAATTCTCCAGTCATTTCAAACAGATTAAGTCTATTTCTTACTGTTAGCACAGCCACGCATCATCAAATTGTTGCCATTATTCATCTTAGAACAAATCTAATTTCATCAATAGGTGGAATTTCTCCCATGCCTGATTCACAAATAACTGTAACTTCCCCTCTCCCCCTCCCCCTTTTTTCTTAAATTAATTCTGTTGGAATAAAATGCCATGCAAATCCATATATTATTCGTTTCCAATGAAAATATAACATTTTATTTCAAAAAAATATGTGCTATGAGATGTTCCACTTGGACAAAAGTTGGCATGATACATGTTATACTTTACAGTATTACAGCTCACAAAATGAGACTTTAAGCTAAGCAGACTGATTGTTAGGTAGTAATGCAAATTTTGTTTCCCAACATATAATTAGGCTTGTGACTTTCTTGTAAAGAGCTATTTTACCCAAATTGTGGTACTACTAGAGGCAAGTTGCAAACTGAATTTAGAAAGTGATCTTAATGCTTTCAGAAACAAATTGTGTAGTTTGCAGTCTAAAGTAGTTTATGCTTGACAACTTTCAGGACATCTCATGATGGAAAAGCAGCAATGACAGAAGAACAGCAAGGTCCTACACTGCAGCAAGAGAGGACTTGCTCAAATGCAACAGCTGTATGAACATAGGAAAGAACAAAGGAAAGAATCTGCTTACTTTCAGAAGGCCTCAAGTTTGCAAGGATCCCCAGGAAGATACCTATACCTCCAAAGCCAACTCTAAAGTGAGGTCTGGGAAGGTGTGGATCCTAGTTTCACCCCTTCCGGTCAGTCAGGTGTGTTATATTCACCTGAACTCCCCTGGGTTGGCCCTGCCTTCCCACCAGGTGGGAATCAACACTGGTTCAGGACATGACTTAGCATTTCCACTACACAGGAGAACCCGCAACCTCTTAAAAAAACTGCTACAAAAGCTAGTCTTTGTGTGATATGGAAAAGTGTTTTACTTGTGTGGGGAGTAGAGGTGTTCAATTTTGCAGACAACCGTGGAATAAAGTGTGCATCTTCATTTATTCTCACTGTTAAACTTCACTATTACAAAAATCAAAATGATATTATGTTTACTTTCAGAAAACTCACAACCAAATATTTGAAAATGCAACAGCTGCAAAAGGTGAAAATAATTTCTATCGCCATTATAGCATCCCAAATCTAAAAATGAGTTGAGTAGATCAGCAAGTCAAGGATTTATAAAGTAATCTGAAATATAATAATGCATTATTCTATTTAGCCAAGAAAAGTACATTTATTTAAAAACATCCAGTTAAGACTGTAACATTATAAGATATAAAATTTAAGTTGCACTTATGTATACTTTTTCACAACTAATACTCATAATTTACAATGAGAATATTGAAATCTGTTAGCTTTATACTTAGAGCTGTATATACTTATTGCAAATAGACTGGTTAATCTAAGCCATTTCATTTCATGATCAACTTGAACTGAACCAAGAGAACTGGAAATTTTAACACAATTCTTTGAGACGTGCTGCATGAAAACAATTTCTTCATAAGTAATCTCAAGTTGCAACAGATGTACCAAGCTCTATAATGTGTACATCATGTCTGTATAGTACTGAAATGATGTCTGTACTATGAGTAACTGACAGAAAACAAAAATAGAGTAAACAACCCCAAAAGATTAATTATGATTAAGAAATCCCATTTTATTTTCCAGGCCAATTTTGCAGTAATAACCTCCATCAATCCTTGTAGTATTTACAGAATTTTGTTTAGAGATCAATTTTGTTTATCTCAACAGAAGAGGGATTAATGCTCGTCTATCGTGGCTCTGGAATTGAGTACAAAGGCATCATATCTACTTTCCTAGATAAAAAAGTAAATCAGATACAGATACAGATTCATGAACAGACTGCAGTAAATAATTAGGTCAGCACTAACAGTAACATTCAGTTTTCAGGAACACAAAAGCAATAATTCTCCATTTTAAGTCGCTGAAAGTTTGCTTCTGACTTAGAATTATAGAATCATAGATTTCTTAGAGTTGGAAGGGACCTCTGAGGGTCAACTCCTCTGCAATGAACACGGACACCACAGCTAGGTCAAGTTGCACAGGGCGTTATCCAGCCTTGCCTTGAATGTCTCTAGGGATGGAGCATCAACCACAACTCTAGGCAATCTGTTCCAGTACCTCAGCACCCTTATTGTAAAAGATTTTTTCATTATATCCAACCTGAATCTACCCTCCCTTACCTTGAAGCCATTTCCCCTTGTTCTGTGACCACAGGCCCTGCTAAAGAGTTTGTCCCCTTCTTTCCTGTAGCTCCCCTTTAGATATTGAAAGGCTGCTACCAGGATCCTATCCAACCTGGCTTGGAATGCCTCCAGAAATGGGGCAGCTACAACCCTTCTGGGCAACCTGTGAGTAAAAAATTTCCTCCTAACATCTAACCTATACCTACTTCCTTCTAGTTTAAAACCATTAAGCTAGTCTCCCTTGTCCTATACCCATCAAACCATGTAAAAAGTCAGTCCTCCTTCTGCTTGTAAGCTCCCTTCAAGTAGTAAGCTCCCTGGAAGGCAACATAATCAGAAATAAAAGTGCTCATATGTCATATGACATTTATTTAACCAGATTGTCTAACTGAACCCCTTTGCACAGATATGATGAAGCAGACAAAGATGCTACTGGTCTTTTTCAGACATAAAGGCACATTACTAGCTAACTAGAGTGATCAAACATGCAATATCCTTTATTCTAAGGGAAGTCAATCACCAAGAACTTCTGAAAACTACAAAGGATATCACAACAGCTTCTTTAAATAACTACATACATATTATGATTTTAAAGTATTTATTGAAAAAAAAGGAACAAAGAAATTAGTTATTCTACAATCCCTTACTGTAGATGAATATCTATTTCCAACAGTTATATTTTGAAGCTCTGAAAATATGAGGAAAAGTGAAAGTCTGTCATCTGTGATGTCAAATTAATTATCTTGCAGTTGATCTCTGAGGTGGTTTGATCCTGGATCAAAGCTCCCATCTAGATGCTGTTCAACTCTCTCCAACCCAAAAACAGGATGGGAGAGAGAGTTAGAAGGGCAAAAGCAAGAAAAAGAAAAGAAAAGAAAAAAAAAAGACAAAAAAACCCCAAGTACAACCCCCATATGCAAATATGCAAATAATTAAAAATAAAATAAAATAAAATAAAATTTAAAAAATAAACAAAAAATATGCAAATATGATGCAATCATTCCCACCAGATAATTGATACCCAGTCAGTCTTCAAGCAATGGATGCTTTAGGAAAGCTTTCTCTTTATTTTATAGCTGAGTATGACATTATATGACTATAATATAAGACTATCCCTTTGGTCAGGTTGGATCAGCTATCCTGGCTGTGTCCTCTCCCAATCTACTTGTTGGTGGTAATGACAGAAAAAGAGAAGGTCTTGATGCTGTGCAAGTATTGTTAAGGAACAGCTAAAACAGTGATGTGTAATCAACACTATTTTGATCATCAGCCTAAAACATGGCAACATATGGGCTGCTATGAAAAAAGTGTATGTAACTATATCTCAGCCAAAGCAGCATGGAAATTCACAGTTATCTTCTATTTACAGAAACAGCTACCAGTAACATGTAAAGACATGGTAGTCCAGAAAAAAATTTGAGGTTATGCAGTGATTCTTTGATGTGGATATCTGGGAATCATTTTTGTATACTATACAGCCTCCAAATTACTCATATACAAGCTTTCCTTATTATTAAATGGTTTTCATCATGCAGGAAAATACCTAAAAATTCCTCTTCATGTTTACCAATGTTGAACACAATACACATTTAAGAACAAAACAGAATCATATTAAATCAGCATATAAAAAGTTCCAACTGAATAATGTGACTTGGCTAACATTGAGTCAAAATGCTTTGTTTAGCCTTTAATCAGTCCAAAAATAATGCATGTACCATTGGATGGAAAGATTTCAAGCATTTCTAAAATAAACATTGAGGTACAATACAGGAATATTTTGGTCAGATTAAATACTGAAAGACAACATCCATAGTAACACAGAGCTTTAAAAAAAAACAAATTTTCAAAAATTCAGCTAACTCCAAGCCTGAGTATCTGAACATTGCAACATTGTGCACAGCATGGACAAAAATATGGTTGACATTCCAGCTATACAAAATAAGCATAATTTATTTTGCAGTAAAATTCGAATGTATTTCTTACCCATTCATAAGAAACAATCCAACACCCACGAGCAATTCCCAGCATAACGTTCAAGGTACGACGAGGACTCCCTGTAACTACATGACTTGTTGTTTCACATACATCGTCTGAGAACATGAAGTCTCCCAGTTTATTCACCACCTGAATTACTACACTTTGTTTCCTAAAAAGAGCACAAAGACAAAAAGATACAATGTTGAGAGGATAGCTAGGATTGTGGAAGCAAACATTCACATACAAATTATCTCAGATTTTCTTACATTTGTACCTTGTATTTTTTCACTAATCCCTTCTTATCCTTCCCTCGCTCAGACTTGACCCATTTGCTAGACAAAAATTTGTTAGCCCTTCCACAGAGTCCAAACAGACCCTTTTCTGTCAGCACACAATCATATCTACTTGCATATCAAAGCTCTTTTATACCCCATATCTATCTTGCTTGTTTAAATAGAAGCTTTTTTGAGTCAGGAATTATCTAACATATTGTTTGTGTATAATGCCTAGTACAACAGAGGCTCATTCTTGATTGTTTCTGTTGTACTTTAAAGAAAAAAAAAAAAAAAAAAGAAGTATTCCTAAGAAATGTAAACAGTTGGATGCAGCACTCTTCAAAGGATGTCATTTGGAAGTACCATATTTTCATTATTCAAATAAAATTGTATGTTAACTTTAGAGAGAAGTCTTAAAGTTCTGGCTTAATATCTTTATGTCTGAGTCAGTGTTTCAATTGTAAAAATCACTTATCTTTAAATAAATTTACCTCCACATGGACTGCCATATAAAATAGAGAATGGCCACCTAAAACTGGAATGCTAGGTTGAGTTCTCTAACATGTAGGTTATACTGAGGCACATAATACCTCATCATGAAAACAATGAGCTCTTGGTATCCCCAGAAAAAAGCTGTTGCATAGGAACAATTTAATCAGAACAATTTAACTAAAGATTGTTGTTATAAATAATATAGGAAAGCCCAATGCCAGTGCCCTCTCTTTTCCCCCCTTTGACTTACTGAAATTGTCTATAACTTACTACATAAAATAAAACAATTTAGCTCAACCTTGAACAAAGTCACAGGTAAAACACTGAGGTTAAAAACAGGTATAATGAGAACAGACAGAACATCCTCTGAAGCCTCGGGGGTTACTTGATTCTCACTACATTTTACTCTATCAAAAGGAGCTCAGTTATAGATCCCCAAATATCCTAGCTACTTAGAGGAACTCTAATAAAACCTCTGCAGTGGTTTTATTTTTCTAATAAAACATCTTCAGTGTAGCAATCTCTTTACAATAAATAAATGAATGAATAATTTAAACAAGTAAAGGAACAGTAAAAACAAAGAGTGTCAAAAATTAACTTCACAGAAGTCAAATGGTGATAGCATATGTAGACACAGTTAAAAACTGAATCACTGACTTAACTGCCTAACTTCTGCCACTGATAAGTGTGAATTTTGGTCTTGACTATATGTTTAATATTCACTATTACAAGACTTTTAACTAGACAGTGCCTACAAGTGAAGTTTTTGCAACACTGCTACTCACAGAGGCTAACTCTGCCTAAGCTAAATGCTCAGCAGAGGCAACTCCATATAATATCTGAAACTATAGTTCTTTCTTGTCCATATGAAATTTCTTAGGTGAGAGGAGAGAATCCTCTTCTACATCATTCAAATCTAAGGTATCTTAATCAACTGCACTGAAAACTCAGCAGTTTGTATTTCAGTCAGCTGAAAAAATTACAGCAAAATTTCACTAAATTTGTGACTCAGAAAAATAGGTAGCTACTGGCTGCGTATCAATGAGCAGCACTGAAAATATTCTCAAAACCCGATACCATGAAACCACTGAACTCATGCATCTTAAAATTTCTAATGAACTACTTCTGTAATTGTAGCTACTGGATATTAGAACTGGATTTGAGCCAGTTCAAGTCCTATTGAGGACTATTTTATGCTTTTTAGTTCTTTCAGAAGCAGTTCCTTTACCTTCACCTTCACTATAGCATGATTAATCCCTTTAACTGCGGACAGTCAGAAGCAAAATATTGATGAAAAAGTTCTGAAGAAAAGCAAATTTTTAATCAACAGACATTTTTATTTTATGAAATAGTACACTGTTTCTAGGAAAAGTCAGCATGTATCAACATAAAAGAAGTAACTTATTAATGACCTCTTTCAACAGAAGAACATTTTTTCCCTAGCTGTCAAGATCTGCGGTCTCCTTTAAGGTACATCGCAGCCTGTTTTCCACTATCCTTATCAGGACTGTAGCTATTATCTTTCCCTCCCTCACAACGATCCTCTATGACATGATTAGCAAAATGCATTTGTAGTCTTGGCATTAATAGAAACAACTCATATTAAATACAAGAAAAATACTATTACTGTTTTACATTTCTGACATTTATAGTAGTATACTGGTTAATTGCTACCATTTACAAAGTATTTCTAAGAGGACTGCCACTAAGTACTGTTTCAGATTGCTTACTATGTAACTGGCATGACTTAATTACTTCAGCACTGAAAGAGATTTGTGGGTAGTAGAAATAAGACCTTAAGTTTTGAAAAATAATTCAAAAAACTGTAGGAAAATACAGTAGAAAATACATAATTTTGTTTTTCTTGGAAGTCTTTATGATGTAAAAATTTTAAGAGAATGATAAGAGCCTGCCAGAAAAATATTAACTCTTCCACAAACACACAGCTGCAGTTGCTTCTAATGTTTTGAAACAAAATGGCTGAAAAGCCTAGAACTGGTATTTCTTCAGCAGCAAAAAAGAAGATATGAATGACAATATTTTAAATTGGTGTTTTAGATCATTAAGACTTCTTGTTCTTTTGTCTTTTTAATAGAAGCAGTTATAACATATGGGGAGAAAGCCATGTTCAGAACTCCATCCTTAGACTATTTACTACAAAAAACTCTTACAGTTCTTTGAGAAAAAAAATCAAAATTTGATTGACTTTGGTTTTATTGCTCCGAAGCCCTGCTGAGTTCACCTACAGGCCAATGGAAACATTATTCCAGTCTGCACCATAACAGCACAGATACGCACACATTCTTACAAAGTGTAGTTAGTAATGATATACACAGGTACTTCTAGCCAGCATGACAGAATGAAGTACTTTATTGTATGGCCCAAAGACAAATTCCTTTTTGTATAGAGATGAAAAGATTATAAAAACTTAAGTTAAACTTAATGAGAAAGTAAAAATACTTCTTAATACTTAATACTTTTTAATACTTACTCAGAAGACATGCTTGTCATGACTAGTGTCCTTGTTGGCTAAAAAAATGAAGCAAACAAGAAAACATCAAAAGCCTGAAAACATTTCTACTTTGAAAAAACTTAATTGATTAACCGTACTATTAAAAGGATTGAACTACTTGATAATTACAGTATCATTCTGGGAAGAGGCAGTACTAACTGACATATATACTAGAAATATTAAACATTAAGGATGTGGAAGGAAAGAAACCCCTTCATAATGTCTGGTATCAGAGCATCCAGTAGGAGAAAGCAAAAATGGAGTTTTTCATCAGTTAAAACAAAGTGACAGATTTCAAGAGTAGCACAGCAAGCACAGGACTAAATAAATAAATAAATAAATAAATAAATAAATAAATAAATAAATAGTATTTACTGTCTTCTGCTTTCTTCTTTTCTTGATCAGATTGAGATGAAAAGGTAGCTTAACTACAACAAAGAAACCCTGTAATTTAAAATGATTTCCATTTCTTACGAAAGAAAGACAAAATCTGTCTGAGATGCTGAAGAAACAAGAGTTTGCTTATTTTAAAGAATATACATTATTTCACTCTTAAATCATGCCTAACGAATAAAAGTTGACTGAGTAATAATTAACAAGGTACAAGCTAAGATTACAAAAACGCATACAAGAGCAAAACTGAGTCACCTTAGAGAGCATAGTCCCAGCAGAATCCCCTAGCTTATGTGCAGAGTGTCTCACACAGATTTTAAATCATTGTTTCGTGAGTTAGTACTATAGAAAACAGAAGAAGAGGTATCCTTCCATCATCAGTAATAAACATAAGGCCTCCACCATGCACAAAAGTAGGACAGAATATTATTTACCAGTATCAGAGAAACATAAACTGAGCACAATGATCAGACAAACATAAAATGATCAACATGACATAATCCTGTAAGAAAAGCCTAAGGATTACGTGTAACTACATAAATATGTACAAGAATGTATATGTTAGCATTTTAGTTTTGTAGAAAAAGTAGATCAATTGACTTCTACAATAATCTCAAAACAACTCTTCCTAATCTTAAAAATCAAGACATGAATTTCAAGTTTCTTGTCTAGGTACCACTCCATAACAAATATTCATTTCCATTTCTAACCTCACTCCAATATAATAAAATCTGGCTTCCTGTAATGTATTGAGATTACATTTGATAGCACAGTTCAAAAATGACTTGAGAAAGATTCAGCAATGAATCATAGAACAGAAGGAGGAAGATATTATGATGCAACACCATCCGTCCTCTCTTATCAGTACAGAGTTGTTGTCCACTTAAGTGTTCAAGCAATTTGTCTTATTTACAGATGGATTCTTTGGAATTACATTTGAAGACTAATATCATAGAGTCATAGAATGGCCTGGGTTGAAAAGGACCATAAAGATCAGTTTCAACCCCTCTGCTATGTGCAGGGTCACCAACCACCAGACCAGGCGGACCAGAGCCTGGCTTTGAATGCCTCCAAGGATGGGGCATCCACAGCCTCCTTGGGCAACCTATTCCAGTGCATCACCACTCTCTGGGTGGAAAACTTCCTGTTATTCTTCTACTTCTGCACTATTGCTTCGTTCCAAAAAACATTATTCAGAAACATTACATGGTCAAGATGACTTAAAAAGATGATAAATACAATGTATAGATGCTAATATCATCCTGTAGGTGAAGTGGATAAATAACATAAATCCCATAAAATATTGAGAAACTATAAATTATTGAGAAACAAATTATTCAGCCTATTCAATATTTTTCAAACTCATGATAAAAAAACTGCTCAGACAGTATTATGTAAATGTAAAGAAATAAATGTAAAGGCTCAACAGTAAGCTCTACAGTACTTCCAAACTGAAATGTTCATTTGATACACTGATTATGAAAAGGCAAAAATAACCAATTATAGAACAGAATAAAACTTCAAATGATGAAAGGATGAAAATTTTAAATTGAAATACTTATTTGGGATAAATTTTACTCAGTATTTTTGGAATGCTGATTATTAACATACTGCTAGCCTGAAAAGCTTGAAATCACAGAATCACAGAATGGCCAGGGTTGGAAGGGACCTGAAGGATCATGAATCTCCAACCCTGTGCCACAGGTAAGGCCACCAACCTCCCCATTTAATACTACACCAGGCTGTCCAGGACTCCATTCAGTCTGGCCTTGAACACCTCCAGGGATGGAGCACTACAAGTGGAGCTATGCTATACAGTAGTGAGGATGTACCTCATAGTGTCAAAACACATTTTGTTAGATCTACACAACTTCAAGGGATCCTGGAATCTATAATTCTAAGGGATCCTATAAAGGCACAGAGCATGGCTTTGAAGCAACATATTCTCTTTCCACTCTTTCTGGGTTGAAACCCAGTCAATACTGAACACGTATGCTTCAGCATGACCATAATGTTCTCCTTTGACTTGATGTCTGGAATTAAATCCACACAAAATAATTGCACTAGTTTCTTGGGGTCCTTGTGTAGTATTAGCTCTACAGCAAGATCCTAATGTGCCTGTTCAGAACGTGCAGAAAAATTTCTCACATGTTTAAAAAATAAACACAGTGAAAACATTATTAATCAGACTACTGATTTTGCCAAAGCTGTGTTAAAAGACTTACTACATAAACCAAGGCCAGAGCAATTTGAGATCCTACAGCTGTTTCTTCAGCTTCAGAGAACAAATGTTCATTAGAAGTTCCTTAGTGCCTATCTTCAGGGAAGTGAAAATACTGTACCCACACAACTTGGAAAACCTGCAGCCTGACATGACCCTGAAAACTCTGCTTTTTAACTGCAGCCTTTATGCTACAGCACACAACAAACAAGATGGTATACTGAATGTTCTGGGTGATGTTTTGTCAGTGTCATCAGCACCATTCAAAGATTCAAGAATGCAGAAACATGCATACAGGAGGTAGAAATTGGGATAAGTTTAATTTCTTCCAAACTACTTTTTCATCTTCATTCAAAACTGCATATTTTTGCAAGTAAGGGGGGGTCATTTTCTACATTTTGTTTTATTGCTTCAATTAGACAAGCGGTTCTCTTTAATACACTTGTATGCAGTTACCAAACAGAAAACTTAGCAAAATTGTTTTAATTTTCAGTAGTACATTTTTCAAGTTAATTGCTTTCTTCCCTCTCTTGCTATGCAATTTTTCTTCAATGCTACTTGCGCCTGTTTTTATTTTACATTTTTCTTTTATTGCAAAATATGTTTTGAGTTAGCATTTTCTTTTCTGATTAGCAAAAAGACATCTGGTGAGCATTGCTATGTATTCTAATGCACATTTGAAGCAGGATTATTATTAATACAACTCTGAAAAAATGGTATTAAATGAATAAGACCTTTTAAAATTTATCATTTTTTTCTCTCAATCAAGAGGAGTTGCACATCTGTTTTCTAAATGAGAGCACATTTATTTCTGGATTGTGTTTTAGATCTGTAATGAAGGCTGTATTAAGACTCCTATAGAACATTTACATGCCTCAGCTTTCCTTTATATGTTTCTTAAGACTACAGTTGCATTAAATATTTCTTTTTAGAATCTGTCAACAAGATTTCTCCACATCCTATGAAATACATAACATGCATTTCAATACCTCAAAGAAAGCAGTGTTTGTTATTTTTTTCAATTCTTGAAACACAGCGTGATACATCCTGTATCTGAACCGCCCCACATCACAAAAGAGGCATCCAACCTCAAAATGTATTCCTTTCTTTTTCTAACTTTAAGCAGGTGCTTCTTGGAGCTGAAGGAAAATAAGAGAAAAGCCTTGTTTTGTACAACCTGCTTTTCAAAAACTGTCATGAGATGTTTGGGTCAAGAACATAGACCTCTGGTTTCTTCCAAGGATGGACATCAAGGAATAAATACAACTTCTGAATCGTGTATTCCTTAGACTGAATGCTCTCTTACACCTTTGACAAGTTCTGAAAGAAATGGGCTTTGAAATACTCTAATAAGATCAAATGTATACCGTGATGGGTGAAAAAAAAAGACTTTCAACTTCAGAACTCAACAAGATGCGTAGTTTGGCCAGTATGCTAGGGACAAAGGACTTCTTTTGGAATGTGAGGGAAAGGGAAGAAGTGCATTCATATGCAAATATAATGCAAGGGAAAGTACGAGAGCATTATGACAAGCATTTTGTAGTCTTCCTAGCCTTTTACTTTTTGGCTATTGTAGCTCCATCAGATGGTTCTGAAATAGATTCAGAACTCCTATGCATTCTGTTGATCTTAACAGCTGTATTCTAGGAGTCACATTCTTCCCTCTGACAAGTACAGGAGCCAAAAAAGAGCCAGATGCAGCATGTGAATTATCAAGGATTGGGTTAATTTCACTTATTCTTTTTTTGTTTTACTAGGGAAGTTTGAAGGAGAGGATACAAAACTTTAAAGCTGTTTTTAGAAACAATCTATAAATTATGTTAATTTATTCTATTCATATAATAGTGGCTCACAGCTGAGAATAATTGGTAATTATAGTGAATTATTTCTATTTGGCAGTTTTAAACATTGAATATTCAAAGTTATAATTTACTTTCTGGTTTGCCTTACTCCAGTTATCATCAGTTCTTGATAACGACATTTTTCCAGTTTTCTCTGTCTGCAAATTGAGTTACAGTTGTAATTTCCTGACTAAAAAGCAAGACCTCTGCTTTGGTGCTAATGAGATGTGAAAAATGTACCAGCATTAACCAAATCAGAACTACTATGAGGAAGGTTAAAAAAAAAAACAAACACCACACAAAAAACAACACATACAATGTAAACTATAACAAGAAAAAATTAAAATGAAATTATATATCTGAGAATTACGTTTCCCTCAATGCCAAAGAACCCTAGAAATACTGTTGGCAAGATTAAGGTTGATCAACAGCTTCAGACTGATTTCACCCTAATGCTGACATACTTTACAACTAACTGATATTTTCTGTTTTCTACATGCATCTGTAATAGCTAACATGTTTTAAACAAAACAAAAAAAAAATCCACGTCGTATTCATTTCTTCAACAAAGGATGGATTTCACAGCATTTTGCAGTTTCATTGACGTGGTGAGGTTGATTTATGTTCTGAAGATTGCCAAGCATACAGCGAGGAGACTGGGATTTTTGGTGAATATACTCCTGAACAGCAGTCTGAAGTCCCCAAAAAATCAAGGCTGGATTAATTTTAGCTTTGTGTTGTGATCTAAGAATGCAAAATTCAGTAAATACTCTGCTGACAAGACTGTAACCCACTTGTTTCAGATAGTCAAGTCATCCTAAGCCATCCATCTTCAATCCATCTTCCACCATCAGATTCAAGAATGCCATAGACTTCTAAGGAAACGTATGGAGATGACATAGATGTACATCACAGAAACTGTGATTCTAGGATTTTCTGCTCTCTTTCTTACTCATATCCACTTTTTTTTTTTTTTTTTTTGGTATGGAAGACTGCGGAACAATTTCCCAGTTACCAAATTGCAATGTTAACAATGACCTATATCACTGTCTTGGTACATTTCCAGTTTTCTAAACAGCAAATTTTTAAGTGAACAGTAGCTGTAAGTGTACCTGTGGAAGCAGGAAACACTCTGAACTTGAGTTGAGAGGAAGTTGTATCTCTTGAATCTTATCAAATGAGTATCTGCAAATTCCATTTGTATGAAACAATAACTAACATTTCTCATTTATATTCTGCTCTTGAATGTCAATATTACTATAAATTCTGAATGTTTGAAACAAACTAATGAACACAGCGACATTTTGGTTATAGCAACACCATAAGTTGTGTCTCGTCCGTAAAAATAAACTTTCCTGTTGGATTTCAATGTTCCATTCAGTGGCCTATTTCAGGCACTCCAATAAAGATAATGTGACTCATAACATTAAATCCTCTTATTTTTGTGTTGTCTCACAATGCAGATTGCTCAAAATCTTATTTCCTATTTTCAATATTATGCTGCACCAAGCAGACAACTAGATTTAAACAATAATCAACTATTCAGTTGCCATCAGCTAATGTTAGTCAGGCACTTTCAGGATTACTTCATATAGGACATATATGGCAATTTGTGAACATCAAACATTCTGGGATCAAAAGAGTTACACCTAAAATTACAGCGACAGATATTTGGTCCATACCATCAATGTTTCCTGACTATCATGGAAGAACTCTTTTTTTTTTTTTTGCAGATAGATTCTATGAAGTCCATACTGCCTTCTCTGACAAAATGCGATTTTAATTATCAGATACTTAATTTAATTATTATTTAATTATTTGTTTATTAAATTAATTATTTTTATTAAATTTAATATTAATGTTAATATTATTAATTTTTTATTAAATTAATTATTATAATTTAATTATCAAGATACTTAATAATTATCCCTCGATTATGCATTTCATTTCATGAAAACTTCGAAAACTGCACCACAGTATGTAAAGGACTGCTTCTATCCCCGCACCAGTATCATACACTGACATTTCTGGATCAGGGAAGCCACCTGCTGACATTCACAGGCATTAAATCAGAGTATATGTCTTGATTGAACGAGCGTGTCAGTTTTGGAACTGTGCTCAATGACTGATCTAAAAACTAGGAAGTTTTAGAGGAACTACATACAGACCATTTTTTAAAACGTGTTTTTTGATCCGCCTTTAGAGACTTCAATGTTAACAACACACAGAAACTCTTGTTACTGTTCGTTATCTTTTTTTTTTTTCCTTCTTTTTAAACAAAACACTTGTTCCATTAAAGATTCCTAAAAGTATTTATTATCTTCCCCTAACATGTCTGGGATTGTCATTAAAACTGCTTTGTCTTCAGAGCTTTTCTTAGTTTACAATTTATGTAATTTCAGTAGCTATGATTAGAAGTCTTCAGTGTTAAAGTGCGAAATAAGCAAGTCTATATAAATAGTATAGATAGAAAAGGAAATTGGAATGCAATCTAAATTGTGACAAAGAAGCAGCTAAACAAAGATATTCTTGATTTTGACTTCTGTCAAAAGACAAAACAGAAGAATTTCATAATTTTTGCTTCAGAAAGGAAATATTTTCTAACTTAACTTCACTGTCACTTCATCAAACACTAGGCAAAGTGTTATAATGTTTAAGCTGCAACCATTGCAAAAATGTGATTATATTTATTAAAAATTCACATCATGTTTGGTTTGTTTTTAGGAAGCTTCCTGAAAGAAGTTTGACTGGTACCAGAGAAGCTTTGTAATTTAGTTATTTATAAAAATGTAGATACCTAGCACAGTTCACTCCAAGACATTATCCTGTTAAAATTTCTTCAATAAGAATTTCCTAGGGATTTCCTATACTGGCTTTATAAATTTTGTATGTATGTATGCATATAAATTATGAGTAAGAGATCTTGAACATTAATAACTGTGTAATACAGATTAACAGACAATTGCTGGAAGGAGAGAAAATAGCAAGTGCTGTTTTTCAGTGCAGTCAAGTGGTGTATTAAATGTAACACACTTTGTAAAGTTCTTCTCATGTTTCAACCAGGAAAAAAGCAACACTGTCTCAATATTAATTTGCACAAACTGCAACTGGAAACCTTTAAAATTACAATAGCACACTTATAAAAAGAAATAAAGCATTTGTTCCTGTGTCACAGACATTCAAATCAAATCACCCCAGTGAAATGGATGGATATGAAAGAAGCTATCTGAAAACACTGAAATGAATTTTCTTCAGTTACTGCTTAGTGTTTGTTACCAGCAAACACCTCACAAAGCAGGCTTTGCAACCAGCAAAGCAAGGAGAAACATTAAAACATCCCACTTTCTGTAAAGCCAAAGTTTTAACTCTTCTTTGAAAAAGGGTAACAACTAAAAATTAACTTCTTATTGCTTTTTCTTCTTTTTCATTGTGTGATAGTTATGTTGGGATCCTTCATTAAAAAAACAAAAAACTAGCACTACAATGCGATGCTCTCGTAGTGTAAACACTCAGAAGTGGGAATGAGTGCCAATAAATGTAACAAACCTCCAAGCGTCCTTCTCACAGACAGCCTTATGGCCACTGACTGTTTATGGATACATATTTAGCAGCTTTCATAAGATTTCTGTTACAGGAAATGAAACTTTTCTGGACAGGTGTTTCAGCTTAATGAGGAAACATTCTTGAAATGTTTATTGTAGGACAAAGATGAAGAGTGAGGTTGATTTATATGTTCTATATAATTCTTATTAGTTTTACAACTGATATGACTGTATGTATTTAGAAGAAGAAGGTGAACACTTTCACAGAATCACAGAATCAATTGTTTGAGTTGGAAGGGACCATTAAAGGCCATCTAGTAGAACTCCCCTGCAATGAACAGGGACATATCCACAGCTCAGTTTAAAAAATAACAAGCAATAAGACACAGGCAGGAAGTCAAATTGTAATTTTGAACAGGAGCAGATGACTGGGCCATGAAAAATAATATTCTATCTTCAAGATGCTTGAAAGGCTGAAGAGCCTGGTAATGGCATCTGCTCACAACTTCAGAGTAAAAGGATTAAAAAAAAATTGATCAAACTCTTCAAAACTCCACCTACAGAACAATGAAACATCTGTCTAATTTGTTTCATGTCATTACATCCTTCAGTGCCTTAGGACTACCCATTTTTTAAACAATTCAGCATTCATTTTAATTGTACGCCTTGCTACTATAGTACTGATGAAAAAAACTCTATTTATTTTCCTGCTTATCAGTTTTACATTTAATTCTAACATAACTTTCAGAAGACAAAGTAAACTTAAGATCCAGTGCTGGCCCAGTCATCTCACTTTGTTTATTCCTATCCAGACTGAGCGATAAGAATATAAGAGCTTATAAAAGTATAAGAGCTTATAAGAATATAAGAAGAAATATGGAATATTCTTCAGAGACAGCCATAGTGAATGATCTACTATACATATATGAAAAAAAAATGCAGTGACATGACTGCCACCACACGTTTTCAGAAGGCTGAGTTCAGTGGCTATATAAATTGTTTTTGAGCACCTTTCACATAATATTTCAAAGAAAGTAAGGTTTAGAAATTTTTTTTTTTTTTTTTTTTTTTAACATACATACATCATGCATATTCTGTTTGTAGGTAAAAAGGCACTCAGTGATTCTTCAAAAAGAACTTAACAATATGTTAAACTGACCTTTTGGAGTCTTCTGGTTTTTCTTACCATCCCTTTGTGCTTACTCTTTTGTTCATTAAAAACTTTGCAAGAACCATAAGTAACATCATACTCTGACACGTGATTTTCATCACCTAGAAAGCAAACATAATACAAATTTAGAAACATGAAATGAAACTGCCACACTCTATAGAGCTCAGAACAATTTAAAAAAAAAATCTAACTTAAAAATTTGCATCAGTTCACAGAATCAAAGAATTGTAGGGGTTGGAAGGGACCTCCAGAGATCATCGAGTCCAACCCCCCTGCCAAAGCAGGTTCCCTACAGCAGGTCGCACAGGTAGGCATCCAGGCAGGTCTTGAACATCTCCAGAGAAGGAGACTCCACCACCTCCCTGGGCAGCCTGTTCCAGTGCTCCGTCACCTCACTGTAAAGAAGTTTGTGCAGAACTTCCTATGCTGCAGTTTCCAGCCGTTTCCCCTTGTCCTGTCTCCATTCACCACTGAAAAGAGTCCGGCCTCGCCATTGTGCCCCCCACACCTTAGATATTTATAGACCTGGATCAGGTCTCCTCTCAGTCTTGAAAAGTCAAGGCTGAACAGACCCAGTTCAGTCAGCCTTTCTTCATAGGAGAGATGCTCCAGGCCCTTCACCATCTTCGTGGCCCTCCGCTGGACTCTTTCCAACAGATCCCTGTCTTTTTTGTACTGGGGAGCCCAGTTATTTTTCCATTGTATCAGTTACGAAAAGAAAAATGACACATGAGCACTTGACTTTATCCTTCAGTTTCTCATCTTCCAAATACACTAATTATAAAACTAACTGTAATTTCTGATATTTTGAGTACTGCATATTAATCACAAATAGAGAATGAGCAACTCAGCTTTTTGTTTAAAATTTGTCATTTCTATGAATACACAAAGAAATATTTCGGAAGCACTGGTGCTATATTTTTATATTTCTTACTGAAACATGAGAGCTTTTAGAACACACTGTTTTTATCCAAAATATCCTGAGGGTCCAAAATGTGTTTTCAAACAACAGTTTGTAAACAAATCAAGCAAGCTGTTAGCAGGCAAGGATTGACAGCACATGCAAGCGTATAGATCCTGTTATTTAGAAAAAGGCACCATCCATGAGAAGGTACTCTAATATACGACGAAAAGCAGTATTTCTCATTACTTATTTTTTAAACTAACTAAATTTAATTTGTCGACTTTGTTTCTAAATGATAAAATTCTGGATTCATTTGAGAAATTAACTTGCTTGCAAAAGACAAAAAAGCTTTGATCTATCTTTTGATGAAGTTTTAATTTTTGAAGATTGAGGTAGGTTGTTCTTCCTAAATTTAATTCAATTGAATCCATGTTAGGACATTCATTAATTTTTCATTTAAAAGAAACACATGACATCATTTAAAGAAAGTTTAATAAATAGTGATTGAAGTGACTCAAATTCAATTCCTTGCAAATAATCTTGCCATTACTTCAATATTTCCCATATTTAAAAGTCTAACTGCCTATTCTATTCAATGGAAATAAATAGAAGGTGTTACTTTTAAAGTGACCTAGGTATTTGTTATTGCATTAAGGTCCATCATCTTCAATCATACAGCAAGACTGATGGCAAGAGGACAAAAGATCTTGCCACACAATAAAAACAAGATAAGAAAAATAAATGTCACTGTTTGGAAAATGTGAGTTTAGAAAGCTACTACTAAACATTTATTTTTAATCTTAAGTAAAAGATACTGGGCCACAAAATATGTCAGGAGACTACTGACTCCGTTGCTTCACCCCAAGCAGGAGGACTGCATAGTGAAAACTGGTTAAAAACAAGGTATCAGTCTGTTAAATTCCAATAGAATTCCCAGTCATTTAATTCACTGTAAAATGACAGTACACCAGCATCTTGCTTTCTTTCCTTTTTTTTTTTTTGACCCGAATGTTCAGGAACCTTAAATCTTGCTCCACTTAGATTTAAATCCAAAGACTTGGATTAAAGTTCCAGTGATGGTTGGACCTCTTTCTAGTTTGGCTTCATTCTCATTTGTTCTCTGCATTTACAAGACAGCAGGAAAAGTCCATCATCTTTTTAATTATCAACTCAAGGACCCTGCATACTACATAAGTAAGGGTTATTCGTGGCCATCCAGTTCCTACTTCCCCTGCCCGTGTTTCTGCTCACTATTATTATTCTTATTATTTTTAAGAAACAGTTGCTCAGTCAAAAGTAAGGTTTTCACACCTTCAGTAGCTTTTCCTAGGGCGTTTCTGATAAGGTTGAGAGAATTGTTTGAAGCAACTGTACTCACTATTATCCATAAATTTAATCAGCAAACTCATGGCACTGTGTGATTAGGTCCTCTAAATCCTAAAACATTGCTCAGTGGCTGGTATTAACATCTTTATAACTGAGATGTCTCTTGATTATTACAACAAATTACAACAATAGAATGGCTTTAATTTACAATTTAAGTTTCTCATAATTCACGATCATTTGAAATAGAATATTATCTTCAAAAATCCCATTGATATTTTGACTTAAAAAGCAAGTAATGGTTAGATACTATGTGCTAGTTTTTGTTCAGTAAAATCATAAACTTTTATTATAAGCTTTATCTGCAGTGTTCTCCTTTACGAATATCTTAAAGTGTCACTGCAATTAAGTTACGCCACATCTACTATTCTATACTTCTATGGCAAGTGTCATCAGACTTCATAAATTCAACATCAAAATAACCTTTAACTCTATTTTGAAATACTTGTCCTTCTTGTTTTAATACATTACAATTAAGTTTTTGTGAAGATAAAAAACAAGGAACCAAGCATAACTTCTCTTCATTCCTCACTGTTTTTAAAGGACAAGTAAAATGATATTAATTAAATTTAATTTTAAAGATACGCACAGTATTTTAGATGAATTAAGCACCTATCTCAACATTCTAGACCTAGAACCTCAGGTAAAACACACCCATCTAAATCAAACTTGATCATTTTTGTACTAAATAACGTAATGATATTTCCAATTCCTTATTTCAGTCTTAAACAACATCTACTAAACGATAACTGATCTTATTCATGTCCTTTGGCCAACTAAGATAATGTTTTCACTATAAATATCTAAATTCACTCAGTTAAGCCTTAAATATACTGTCAAGACTGGAAATGATGCTAGATCCAGTTCAACTTTAAGTGATTTTAGGATGATTAAAAAAAATAATAATAATCTTGTACTTTTTACCTAATATTATTTATTGTTACAGCTTTGACATTAAGTCATGGGAATTCATTGAATTTAAGTATTAGTGTTCTAAATGGTGTAGTTCATGTGCCAACTTATCATCAACCCTACTCAAAGGTCTGTAAGCAGACGGAACTGATTTCAAGGTAAATTGATGTATAACATGGGTGTCCGTCCAATGGCCTGCCTGGGCCACATTAAAAAAAAAAAATTCGTATTAAAGCATAAAAAAGGGCAACAAAAACATAAAATTAGTGGGATGCTTGACCTTGTTTTAGTGAAACTAATAAACATGTTAACTTACTAACTTATGAAATTGTCATACACAATAAGACAAGCTGAAGCTTATTAACTAGGAAAGAAAACTTACATGTCTGCTTAATGACAAAAATTGGTATCTTCACAGGCACACACAAAGGCAGTTGTGTGCAATCACGGTGTTTTACCCACCAAGTGGCATGCGTGTCATATGTAAGGCATGCTGGTTTTGACTCAATTGAGTGCAGTGGTGAGTGTGACAGGCTGAGTTAACAGTGTATTGTGCCCTCCCCTTATAGCAGTCTGTTGCTGCCTATGCAGTCTGTACTCAAGCTACGCACATAATATTCATGGAAAGTATTGCTAAAATCACATGATAATGGTAACAATTTACAGTCTTGTGGGGCTGCATTTCTAGCTGTCATGTGACCTGCAGGCTGGGCGTGATTTAAAACATGAATGACAAGGAAATCTGCCAATGACATAGATTGTCAACCTTTACAACAGCAACATTGTATACCCATAAGCTTAAACTCAAAGCCACCATTTTGGTCATCCTGCAACTGCTAGAAATCTAGGCATGCAAACCCAGCATTTAACCCAGTTAAATTTCTACTTTAAAATCAAAGAGTAAAAGTAGTCTGTAAAGAGAATGCTTATCAAATGTTACATCTTGTCATTAAAGACAACGGGTAGGAGTGCCACTAACTTAAAAACTGGGCAAGAAAAATGCTAGATATTTAAACGTATACAGACATTGAGTCAATCTTACAATGAGCATTTTATCACTCCTAACCATACATATGTAAGGGGTAAATAATAATATACTATTTACCCATTTTCAAACCATGTAAAACATATAAACAAAGCAATCTACTATTTATTTACTAATTAACATGGACGTGAAATAAGGAAAATAAATATTAGAAAATAAACATCAGAACGTATTTAAACCATATTTAATCAATATTCATGATTACATTTTACAGTGTCACAGTTAGAAGTTTAAAACACAATTTTAATTTTCTTCCACGAAACTTCCATTAACAGTAAAAATACAATTCAGTTTTTATTACTGATCTCTTCTATTTTCAGATGAGCTTGTAACCAGAAAGGATTGAAAGGAAAAGTGTCTGGTAACTTTTGTTTGCTGAATACTCTTCCTTAATCCTCTCCTCCAAAATCTGTGAGCTTAAACAAGTTGTCCAATAGAAGTGTAACAGGCTAGAATACTGGTCTCAATTTCATCACTAGAATTCATGATTTAGAATTAACTCTAATTGGGTTCATACATTTGTGGGTACACTTATATAATGTAAACCTGCATCTATTTTATTGTTTGTTAAATATCATATAGCAATGTACACAGATGTAAAGAACCCAAAAGAGCAAGTCAGCTCAATTCCCACTGATAAATACACAGTTACCCTGTAATATTTCTAGTGAATGGATTTCATAAGCGTGAAACCAAAACTGTTCTGCCCTTTAAATAATAAATTTTATATAATGTATTGATGCTTTGTGAAAGTTTTTTGTTTTTGCAATAGATACATCCAACAGCAAAGTATAGGTCCTAACTGAACTTCTAACACTCTTACAAAATGGCTGTGTAAGTTATAATGAATGCACAGGTTGTTTTTCACAAGAAAGATGTTGAGCAGTGGAATAGAGCGGAGACTACGACATCCTGGCCAGGGTAAGAAATAAATTCCAGAAGGCTTTAGCAATACCCAGTATGATCAAACATGAATAATGTTGAGCTTTTGTGAAGGAATACACAAGGGGAGGACTGCTAAACAAATGTAAAATTAAACACGGCTTTCATAAGTAGTAAGAGAAGCAAAAGTGGAGAGCAGAGTAAGGAAGCCTGGTACAGAACAAAACAGGTATAACAGCTTCAAGGAATATTATCCTCCTGTATCCATAGAAATGTATGGAATGATCCTAAAAACAATAGATTGGTGATAGACTTCATATGGAAAAGTGGATGTAGTGCTTAGATTGTAAACCTGGAGTACCTAGCCAATAGGGCAACACGAAAGTAACTACCCGTGATGGGAGGAAAAAAAAAAAGTGTATAATGAGAAGTGTGTTGCTGATCAAGCGCCTGTTTTCTCCTTTGCCACAGGGGTGTACATGCCCACTATTGCAATAACGAATAAAAGCGTTGTTGCTTCCCTGAGATCTTCGCCTGACGGAAAATTATCGGAACTGAGCGTTTTCACAGTATCATTCTAGAATTTTCCTGAGTCGCCAAGACTTAACATTCTAGTATATATTTGCATTGGAAGAATTTATGCTAAACTAAATTAAGAATGCTCAAGTATAAATAATATTCTTAAAATTGTTATTAAAAGCAAAGATCAGCTCCATATAAACAAAGCCATAACTGAAAGAGATGCTTACTTCACACATTGTTCAGCTGCCCCAGGTGAAGGAGATAGACTCAATCTTCTAGGGACCATTCCAACTCAGAGTATTATATGATTCTGTGTGCCTTCAGATGTCAAAATCACTCTTCATTACAGCAAAAGTTAGAAATTGTTGGGTTTATTTCCCATTAGAGATTTTGTGCCTTTAACAGTAATTTTAAATGGTGAAATAAGAATAATTTTAACAGGGAATGCTATGCTTAATAGTTACTTGTAGACAGTTTACACAAGTATCATAACATTAAAAGGATGAAGAACTCGCTACCTTAAACAAGACTTGAACAGAATGACAGAATTAATTGAGTTGGAAGGGACCTTTAAAGGTTATGCAGTCCAACTCCCCTGCAATGAACAGGGACATCTACAGCTAGATCAAACTGCTCAGAGCTTGCTCCAGTCTGACTTCAAATGTCTCCAGGGGAGAATACGTTAAAGAGTGTGTCACCTTACTTCTTATAAATTCCTTTATATATTGAAAGGCAGTGAACAAGCTTCCCAAAAGCCTTCCCCTCTCTGGGCTAAACAGACCCAGCTCTTTCAGCCTGAATAGCAGCATAAAGCTTACAGAACGCCAAGCATTGTGTAAAAGGAAGAAGGCAGCTCACAGTTTGGTTGCATTTCATAAGCCAATTTCCCTCTCTCCTGATGACTTTATGCTTGCAGTATATGAGAATACAAATGTGTGTTCTTTTGGCTCCTACACACTCATTTAAGTAAAAGTCTGGACTGCAGCATATTTTTCTTTTAGTGTAATTCTCAAGCATTTTTCCATTGAGAATGACATTTTGCATTTAGTTGTACAAGTACTTCTAATGCAGTATGGTACTGTTTTGTTTTCTGTCTCTATAGACTTACCAGGAGTGTGAGTATGGCAATTCATGCTGATTCTGTAGGATGGGCATGGGCATACTGAGGCAGATAGTTCTCAAAATTTAATCTAGACCTGCAATTTCAGCTTTTTCACCATCAGACATACAATTTAATGGCACGCTTTCTGTATGTTCAGCTAGTTTAAACTACTTTATTAAAGCATAATTTGCTTTAAAAGACTTTTTTCTACCTCTCTCATAAATAGTATGTAGCTTTCAGAAACACCTATCAGTTGAGCCCATGCCTCTAAAAGATTCTTTGCAAGAAACTTCAGGAGGATTCTGGGGCTAATTTAGACCTTGTAGCTGGACTTTATTCAAATCAGATGAGAAAAAGAAGTCCTCATAAGAAGCACTGACAGTACACTGATCCTTGCTATCCATAGTAACCCAGTGCAAGAACACCTTTTTAGACCCTGATGCACTCAGTTTAAAGCTAGACAGTGTTTGTAGTTGATTTCTTTTTCTGTGTTCTGTAAGACTATCAATTCTGCCAAAAGGGAGCCTTCTATCAAATGAATGTGTATTTAATTCTTCACTGCTCAAAAGTGAATTAGAGAGACTGTCATTCAAAGCACTATTAACAGTAATTAACTCAGCAGTTTTTTGGGAAGGAGCAGTACGAACCACGTCCTTGATCTGTAGAAGATAAGTTTTGTTTGCAACTGAAGTAGTCATTGTACTCCCATCCTTATGGTTTTGTTCTGAAAACTTTTCTAGATCTTTTATTTCTAAATACAAATTATCATGCAAAGTATTCTGCAAAATCTGCTTTTTACCTAAGGTTCTTCTGCTAGATTGCTTCTGGATTAAGCTCTTCTGGTCACAGCCACATGAGGGAGAATTCACTGAAGCACTCATAGAAACGTGAGTATGAGTCTGAGTATCGCAGATGTTTTCTACATCTTTTTTCTGTCTCTTTGATGTAATAGTTCCGAAAAAGTCATCACAGCTTGAGTTTAAGCAGTCTTTCTTTTTTTCTCCTGTAAAATATGAAAAGTAGCAAAATAAACAGTTGAGAAAACAGAAACAGAACAAAATTTCTAAGTGAAACACATATGAAATTACTGAAAAGAAAAAGCAAAGATATAGCCACTTACCTGACTGTTCAGTGACCAAGTCATTAAACAGAAACAAGGTATATTGATGAGAAGCTGCAATAGGTTTTACTATCATGTATTCCTATGTGTTATTTACAAACCCTATCTTAAAACAAAGCAGAGAAAATCTCTAATGTGTGAGAAAAGCAGCATGATTTTATATTGATAGTTAGCTGGAATCTATATAATCATTTTTGCTCATCTTCTTGTAGTTTTCCCAGAGTTATGAAGAAATTAAATACACAATAATATCACAATCTACGTACTGTAGTAAAAGAAAACAATGTGGAAAAAGATAACATATTTCAGTTATTCTAAAGAAATTATTTTGGGAGATAATAAAAAGAAACCATTCATAACTTTCACAGTAAAATTCCTCTGAAATAGGCTTGCATCTTTGATTATTGAAAATACAGTTTTAAGAATCCAGATGTTCCATACAACTTTCTATACTCTATTTTTACAACAAATGTATGTTGAGTGCAAAGTTTCAGCAGTACTCCCTTTGTTAGTACTGCTGTAAGTTTCAGGGAAAACAGCAATCTTATTTCCTCACTAAATATTAATAATGAATTAAACATATGGTTATTGACATTGAAATGTCAACCAATGCACTCTCATAAGCCTTACAAACAAAGGGTCACCATGACTGACTATCAGAGATGGAAACTACACTGACTATTATCAGGGATATAGAGGATAGCTCCAAAAGTAAAGGCTTCTATTTATTTCCATGGAAACTACAACAGATACAAAGAGCATAAGGACACTATTTCATAGAACAAATTCTTAGCTACAACACATTATTTTTCAGCATAGTCACCACCATTAACTGTGCATTATTGCCAGCGACAAACAAGAGCCTGCGTACTCCACTCATAGTAATCTGCACTAGCAGGAGTGACCCAGTATTTCACAGCTGCTATGACAGCATCATTATTGAAACATACCACCTTGCTGTGCTCACATCCACTGTTTGGTCTCCATAACTGTTCAGCAAGCACTGATGAATGTCAGTAGGTGCCACTTCCTCCACTTGGAGGAATTCAGTGACACACGTATGCTGCATACACACTTCATGTCAGACATCATTTTGTCAGACTGCCCCTCTGCTGCCATCTGTCACATGGCAACAAAACGTAATGGAGTACTAGTGAGAAGGTTCAACCTCTCACATCGTGGTGCAACATAATAAAATAGAGCGCATTACTTTCAAAGCAGCCCTTGTAATATAAAAATCTATAGTGCAGCTGTAATGCTAGAGGGGCGTATTCAAGGTAAAGTGCTCAAATCGATGTTTATCCTTATCAGCACACAACCAATTTACTGAGATAAAAGAGTTCAGTGATACAGTTATGCTACTTCCAGTATCAAGTTACTACTTCTTTCTGAAATTGCACGAAGGCATATCTAGCTGTGTCAGGATACCACTGTGTATGATTTTGCCTCTGTTCTCATATAAGACAGCATGACAGATTTTCTGTATGATGTCAGTACAACATTAAAAAAAAAAAAGATATACACTTTTCTGGTGGAGGAGAATGAAGAAGGCAGTCCAATCAAATGGTCTTCATTATGAATTCCGAAAGCTGACTTCTTACTTTTCTACTAAAATCCATCTTTATCTTTTTGTTCTGACAGTAGACATGCAGTATGAAGTACACCACACATTGTGGACATTATTTCTTAATGCTGTTAAGAAACCCACAGATGTAGCTTAACAACTTTCACAATCATTCTCTGTCTTATGTCCTGTTACTACCTCAAAACACAGGCGCTAAAATCTAAAGCACTGAGTACAAGAACCTTAATATATGTCACTTTCTGAATACTTAAGCTGGAGAATGCATTAGGTTTTCAGATTTTTCATTTGAAAATTTATAAGACAGATCAGTTTTGTGAGTTTTATTTTTTATTCAGTTCACTTTGTTTTCACATCACATCACTAAGCTCTTTGTTCCATACACAGAATCATGGAGTTGCTCAGGTTGGAAAAGATCTTACAGATCATCAAGTCCAACCACAACCTAATCATACTACCCTAACTCTAAATCACCCTCCACTAAATCACATCCCTGAGCACCACATCCAAACGGTTTTTAAACACATCCAGTGATGGTGGCTCCCTGGGGAGCTTAATGCAGTGCTGCAAAATTCCTATATCAGTAAACTGACAGAATGCCAGAACAAGAAGGCACTAACAAGGAATAGAATTACTTGTCACACAAGAAAGTGACACAAGCAATGCAGCAGTAAGGCACAACATTTACACAGCGTGACTTCTCTTGCTCCAGTTCCTTGAATTCTTACTCCTGCATATTCTGCCAATTAGCAGAAAACTAAAATAATTCAACTTTAAATATAAGTAACAGAACAAACATAAAAAGTCCTATTTTGAATGGTGGTAGATTAGTATACTAAAATAAGATATACAGATCATGTATCATGTTTAAATTCTCTAACATGTAAGTAAAGTTGAGATAGTTACCTTGCAATAATGGGTCTTCTGAGTTAGTTACAGAGGTAGACAATGGGCAGTCTCCTTGTGAGCAACATAGAGGTGCTTGAAACTTTTGGGAAGCTAGGAATTTGCAAATGATAAATCAGTCAGCTCTACGTGCAGACATACAAGTTTCTACAGCATCTATTCATATCTCAAAAACAGTTCAATCTTAAGAGATGTGGGTGCTTCGACAACTAATTATAGACTGCTTAACAGTATCTCAAACTTATTTACTCACAAAAAATTTATTATGTTTTTCAAATGAATCAAATTTCTTCTAGAAAACTCAGCACCATATTTTTCTGAAATGAAAGAATACTATTGATGAAATATTATGGGTGCTTCTAAGTCAGTTGAGATGTTTTAACCAAAGAATCTGATAACTTCCACAGCTAGTAGAGATGCCTCCATACAGCAGAAATGCTTTTCAAAACCCTTGGAAGTATTACCTTAAAAATGCAAGAAAAAACAAATACAAGCCATGCTAAAATAAATAAGATTTAATTTTTCATCAATGTATAACTGCTTCTATAATTTCCTTTCAAAATTGTATTTGGAGGCATAAAATGACAGTTTGTTTGACAGATTTCTTGAAACTTCAAATGCTACAGATTTTTCCCTACGGTGAGACAACACAAGCACTGATAAATTATTTGAAAACTGGAGTCTAGATTTAAGTCACCAAGATCCGCATTTTCAAGTCAACTGGTTTTTATTCACTTAGGTCTTTTTTTGTTACTTAAATCCCATTCTTCAGCATGTGAACAGGTGCCTTAGCATTTTGGAACTCCTTTTCAAACTGCTGGTGTGGAAGTAATAACATTACAATCTTTGTTAACTATGGGATTCGCATTAGAATTTAATAGGAAATAAGATTTAGAATCTTGCTATAAAGTTCAACCAAGTTATAATAGCAAATTACAAATCTAAAAGTCTATTTTAGTCTTTATTATTCCTTAACTGTATTATGATTAAGAAATTCCATTTTGTTAAAATTGTCTTCCTTGTCATCTTATGTCACTTTCAATACAGAAATGCAAAACTTGAGAAGAAGGGAGTACTGTGCAGTGACCCTCCAGCTACGGTGGTCAGAGGCACAGAATATACACAAGAGATGAGTTTTAAGAACTTACAGATTCTAGGATCAGTTCAAATCCAAATGACTTAGAAAGAAAAAATATACTTAAATTTTAGGTTCAATCATCATATTTAAGAGGCATTCAGGTCAAATCATAAAACAAAGCATCAGGTACAAAATAGGCATAGTGACAGCTCTAATTCCAGACTGTAAAAGAAAGAAGCAGCACCTGTTCTGCATGCATCATTTAGATCAGTATCCCTTTGCATTTTAGTGGGATTCAAAGCTCTGAACAGTCAGCATTCATTTCACATGAGTTATGGGCTATTGTCTCGCAAAATGCTACCGACATAATGATTAATGCTAACTGATTTCAGTGGCTTTATCTTACACAATTCTATTCAGATATTTCCATTCTGAGTCTAGGTAATTAAATATTTCAAGAAAAGTACAGTAAGAGTAATTCTGAGAGACAGCAGAAAAAGTATGGCAAAAAGTGCAGCAATAAAAATGGTGGCCTTTTGTGTATGCTCATGAATAAATAAAGTTTAACTTCTTACCTGTAGGAGACAGATTTTCTCTTTTCTCCTTCATCTCATTTATTCTTCTTTCCATTTCACTGCATTGATTTCTTATTTTAGAAACAGGGCTATACACAAGTGAACCATCATCTTCAAACAGTAAAACCGGTATATCAGTTTCTATGCAAAAAATATTGTACATTATTAATTACTTATAATAATTTCTAATAACAATTTGTACTACAACAGCTTCAGATTGAGTACTGCTTTGTTTAAAAAAAAACAACTCCAACAAAACACAAATTTGCAAACAATTCTGTAGAATGTAAATCAACTTTATCCGTTACAGTGATGTGCACAAAAGCATAAAAAGAAAGAAACAAACAAATTCTCAAAAATTCATTCACTTTAAGGGCTTTCAAGAAATAACTAAGATATTCGAATACTAGTCCAAAGAAATTCTTACCTGCATTAATTCCTATCCTTTGTTGAGCTAATTCCTTAGCCATCTGGTCCAGTCTTCTCTGGAGTTTTCTATCATTTTCTGGAGTTTTCTCAACAAAGTCCTTTGGCTGCATACATTTGTGCTAGAAGACATGTAAGACTATCAAGTATATGGTAAAAACCTCTCCTAACTAGACTTCCTTTCTCCCTACCATTTTAACACAGTATTTATGATCAGTGTTTAACACTGGTTTATAATCACTTCTTTAACAGTTCTACATAATTGCAAAGTTAACATTTTCCAAAACAAATTGTAATATGAAATGACAAAGGATTAATAGATATTTTTAATCAGATTTTAGTAAAAGGGAGATGAAGCTATCAACCTTTTTTTCTTGTTTGTAGCAAAGTTACTGCTCAAAAGTTTTGCCTTTTCCTCCTCAAAATGAGGATTTTAGTACTTGTCACAACTCAATGAAACACAAGGTACACTGCAGTTAGTTGATCTGAATTAGCAGATCACTTTGTCGTCATTTAAATCTTCACCTCTTTATACACCAATATAAACACTCAATTATTATCTTTCAAAACCTACTCAAAGTTTACAGGAAGCTCTGAAAATCAACTGTTCAAATGCTCAAGGTCAGGCTATTAGAATTTTACTCACTTTTAGTGGTAAGCCCTCATTATTGTATACTGCAGGAAACAAAGATTCATCAACACGTACTCCAGTCTCTCGACATCTGTGTAATAAAATAGAGCTGTCATATTTAGTTTTTAAGAATGAGAACTTTTGCTGGAAAAAAAAAAAAAACACACCTACTTGAGTTCAGCATTCATTAAACCCTTTCCAAGTATTCTTAGCATAACTACTGCAATGCTAAAAACCCAAACCCCAACAACTTTCCAACTACAAATCAAATAAAGGACATGACAATTTGTTGTCCTTACAATGTTCTCTAAATTGCTGTATCGGTGCCCTAAAGCTTAAAGATAATACACTTATACTATTCCCTCACACATTCAAAAAATCACTGAATGAAGTCAATCTGGACCAACTCACTCACCAAGTGAGTGTAAGATTTAGCCTCTTTTTTATTTTCTGGGGATTCTAGGTTTTCATTCTGCAGTAGCTAATGAGATACTTAATTGTTATTTGTCATCCTGATGGCAGTAAATACTCAGCTACAAACTACAGTATGTCAGGAAAAATAAGAAAAGAAAGGATAATGCTCCTAGTAAACAAGATTATGAGTTTCATCTGATCCTGGCTTTCAATTCTTACCAATTAGTTTCATTTTCTGTCTTCTCTTTGTATATACAATGTTAAAATCAGCCCCTTGCAGTGAAGTAAAGCTATCTCTATATTTTTTTTAATTAAAAAAAATAAAAATAATCAAACTGATATTCCACCCCTAGATTTCTTTTTAAATAATTTTAAGTCTGAATTGAGATTAGTGGGACTCATGCTATCTTGGAATATCATACATATCTATCATATACCTGCACACTATGCATGATGTTGAGACAAGAACTTGATTATCAGCATGGTAATGGAAGATATATTTTAGTCAGAACTGGTAAGGTTTCATTCTTGAACCATGCTTTCTGTAATAAAACTGGTTACGGAAAGGAGCCAAAACCTTTGCAGACTACTAGAATTCCTTTAGAAGACTGTGATTCTAGTGACACCTAGTGTCAAATCACTTTAATGATCACGTTTGTAAATGCTAACAGAGTTTAGAGTTGTCTGGAGTACCAATTAAAAGTGATAATCAGCCTGCTAAACTTCTGTGGCTATTATTAAAATCTAGTTTATGATTTTAAACCTGTTTGGTTTTATTTTTTAAAGAAATGTATTCTGGATTTATGAATTTTTTGAAATTTCAGGGATCATCAAGTTTTCTTCCAGATAACATTACTTCCTGTTAAACAATGGAACCACATTTATTCAGTTTATGCTCAAGCATGCTCATGGAGCAGAAGCTTTATCTCAGGCAGATCATTGGCAAGAGCACTCTTAAGTAAGAGGCAACATTCACACAGGCCCTGACACTAATAATTTGTGCTGTTTATTTTTTAAAAAAAAGAAAAGCAAATACTACAGTTTTTCAAGTCAAAGGGCATGTTCCTATGAAAGGCTTATGTACTACTCAGGGGAACATAGCAGTGGAATACATGCAGAACGGTTCATAAGTAGTGGTTCAACAGCTGTCAAGTGGGAAAATACTTGGCATAAAGTAGAATAATCAGGAAATGCTGGAGTAATTGTTGATGAGTTGCTTCCTTGTCTGGTGTTTTTAGGGCTCAAATATCAAAGAGTAGCGCCTGGGTTAAATACCACATAGTATCAATATCACAATACCCAAGAGCATATAAGAAAACAGTCGAACTTTCCCATTTTGCTTTGCTACATATTCATAGTATAAGGATGGTCTGAGGCAACATTGTATTTGTTTGGTTGTTTTTTTTTTGATAAAACTGCTTAATTGCTTCAGGATTTTTTAAAATCCACATAAACCTTTGCAGTCTATATTGATTCTACAAGGAGTTACAGCCTAACTACATCTTGCTAAAAACCATCTACTATTTTCTCAGTATTTGTCTCCAGTCAAATTCATGTGAATTCCCCAATTCTTCTACTAGAGAAGGAATAATACACATTCATTCCCTGTTCAGCATCTTTACATTAACCTTTGTTTTCATATGAAAGAGGGATCTCTGACTCGCCATTCTTGCCTCTTTTCCAGGATAATTCTTGTTTCTTCAAATCACATCTTGTGAGAAAATAATCTTATACTTTCAGTCATTCTCGATGTCATTTTCTGCCATCATTCTGAACACATCCACGGCCTTCTCACTTCAGCTACCAGAAGCATCACACTCACCAGCTCTTTTTTTCATTGAAGTTTTCAATCATCTTGATGTCTACTAGGAAGGCAACACTTGTGGGCTGCAAGCAATCCAAGAGACTCCTGGAGTGCACTGAAGATAACTTCCTGGACCAGGTATAAGACAAACTGACCAGAGGGGAAGCATTACTGGAAATGGTGCTCACCAGTGCAAAGGACATCATTAAAGGGTTAAGACTGGAGGCATTCTGGGCTGTAGTGACATGCCCTGGTTGAGTCTGTGATCTTGAAAGTTACAGGCCTGGCAAAGAGCAGAGTCAGAACCCTGAACCTTAGAAAAGCGAACTTCCAGCTGTTTAAAGAATTATTGGATGGAATCCCCTGAAAAGCTCTCTTTATGGACAAAAACAGAGCTGGCAACTCTTTAAGGACACCGTTCTGAGATCAAACGAGCTCACCATTTCCATGTTTCAGAAACCAGTCTAAGGAAGCAGGAAACCAGCATGGCTGAGCAAGGGCTTGCTGGTCAAGCTGAGGGATAAGAAGGAGATGCACAGGCAGCAAAAGCAGGGATGTATGGCAGGAGAAAGATTACACAGAAGTTTATTCACTCATCATTGCCCCCACCTCAATAAAGCACATCTCTACATCTTCTACATCAGATGATTTCTCCAATTACAAGAAGACATACACCAAAACCTTGCTCTGATGCTAGGAATACTTTTAAGAATGTCAGGAAGATACTAGCTTTTTGTTTCCTATTGAACAGCTTACATTTTCCTTCTAGACACTGTCACAACTTTTCATTTGGTACTGGCATCCTGACAGAGTTAGTTTCTTGAGGCATAAAAGCTTGATCTCAAAGCTGCAGAGCGCTGTGCTGTTTTATCTTATTCAGACTGCTATTTCTCTAAGCACATGATACTTACTTGATAAGAAAAGACCCTTTTACTTCACTTATATTCTAATTTCCATCATCACAGCAATTTAAGAATCGGAGTGTTTGAATATAACATATGTGTATTCTTAAAAACCAGTAGTATGTTTTTAAACTTTATCAGAAATTTAAGTTAAGCTTCAACAACTTCTTAAACACAGAGGAGATGCCACGGACTACAGACAAAACGGCAGTGATGTTCAAATTTTTGGCTGTTTTGTTTTTTTTAATACAACTTTTTCCTTATGGTAGTCAAGAATCTTCAAGCAGTGCCATGCTGAACCTGACAAATGTCTTAAGAGACAGACTACATAGAGATCTTTTTCTTTCTTGCTAACAGATACTCTGTCTAGAGACTGAGAAACAGTACAAATACTTCCTTCATTTTTGCCCCTGATGAAATGTACTTTTCGTATGGAAATGGAATAACTCAATTCAGCGTAAATATCTTGGCATGCATTGACAATGCATGCCATCTGAGAGCAAAGGAGTGGAACACTAAACAAATATACCATGCAGCTAATTCAACATACTCATTTTCAATAGATAACACACCATCTGTCTGTAGAAGTAACACATTTTACAGTAGAAAAAATGTCATAAGAAAGTTATCATTTACTCATAGACTTAACAATGTTTCAGGTACATAAGAAAAAACAGGTCGTTTTTGTGGAATTTTGTGGAATAGGTCACATTCATTATGCTCAATAGTACTCACTTCTCCACCCAGAGTACAGATACAATCTTTACACCGGCGTTCTGTGCTTTTCTCCATGTAGTTGAATGTCCATCTTTGAAGACTACATGTGTCACACGCTTGTTGAAAGTTTTTGAAACCTGCAGAAGTAAACAGAGAGCTCATCTTTGAGTCTGAAAATCAGAAAATATTAATGAAACTAGATGGAGTGGTCTGTTTCTCTTGCCTGAAACACTAGCATAAGAACTTATTCTAAACAGTATGTCAAGGATAGCTTTGATCTTTTCTGTATTTGCAAAAAGCCCGAAGCAATCAAAGCCCAAGTCTGATTGTCAATGCAAAACAAGCTGGAGGGCTACAGTAGCCTTTTATTTTCATAATTTCTTTTCTCTGTGCTACCATTTCCATTTCCCTACTCTTTCTGTATCACTAATCTTACAGCATTATTGTTTAAGTAGCCAGAAACTGTTATGAAACCATCAGTACAGAAGTTAGTTGCCACTATCCAAAGAAATGCCAGTTGCATCTTTCATTTAGTAAAGAATTCACAAACTTAGAATACAGGTAACGTCATCTTTTAAACTAATTCTCAATAATAGTAATCACTTCTAGTTTTGAGGGAAGGCTATTGCTACCAAAAAACAACTGTGAGAGAACACTTTAAAAACAAGGATGAGAAATACAGGAAACTCAGGTAAGCATAGCTAACATCACAACTGACATTTTCACCGTGATGCAAAACTGATTAAATCTTCAGTTACAAACTTGTAATAGCAACTAAATGATAATGCTTTCAGTCCCAGATGTTCCATTTTTTACAAACATTTCTAAATATAAAACTGTTCAATCAGTTGTTGTGAATATACCAAAATCATCAAGTTAATAATTCACATTTTACAGCAACATCTCCTCAACAGTCAGACATAAGGAGTTGTGTAGCTTTCTGATGTTTAGCTCAATTGCATCACTATATTTGGTTTTAATAAAACTATTCAGCTTCTCCAAACATTTCTGATAGCAAGCTGATTTCCTGCTTTTCAAAAGACAACACCCATGAGATGTAAGTATCTAGGAAAAACAAGTCTTTTTCAGAAAAATTTATGACTCCCAGATACAAATGTATTGTCATTTCTAGCTACCAGGCTCATGCTTTAGCCCACATGCTAAGGAGACTTGATGTTTGATAAGGCTTTGCCACCAAATTATGGAGCATCACTACCTTAGGCCTCCCTCTCACAATGAAGCCATCAGTCAAGGTACAGTTACACGCAGAAGTCCTCTCTTTCATCTCATCTCTGACCCTGGAGGTCATTCATTGATCACTTGGCCTCAATTTGGTAAATCTGAACCAACCGTCAGTGGGAAACACACAAAAATTCACAATTTTCTTTCCTGACAGAATAAGCCAAGCCAGTACACTACCATATGCTCAGCCCAACAAAAGGTAAGGTAGTGTCCAGCCAGGAGTTAAATACTGAAGGGACAGGATCATTCCTTTTTGGTCCTGGTGAATAGTCTCAATAGTCTCACCTAGCTCCACAGTCTCCTATATACCTTTTATCTTATCAAGCTACTTTCAAATCAACAAAATACAACTGTGAAGCTTTATCACATTTTTCATGTGTAAAATGTAATGCCATCAGAACATAATTTAATAGACTTCACAGCACAGCCAAAAAAAAAAAAAAACAACAACACCAAAAGAATTTATTAGTGAAATTATTTATTGTGAGTTGTATTTGCTTTTACAATAAAAAGAGTTGTTCTGCTGTTCTGTCATGCTACCTCAGCTAAATTCATACAAAAAGTGAGGCTTTGGGGACATTAGCAAAACTTCCTAAATTACATCTACATATGTAGATGACATGAGATACATGAGATACATCTACATGTGCCCACTTATAAGGCACTGGGAGTTCACGTAAGTGTTATTTAGAGCATAGTGTGGGCTTTAAAAAAATCTCCACTGAACAGTAATAATGTGCAGGAAGGCAAGATGCCTGTTTGGCTGGTTTTTAGTTTAAATTTTGCATCTACAACCCAAATATATTTTATGTGGAAAAGTCACCAAGACATATGCAAAGACTCTTAGATGTATTTTTACAAGCACTTCCTACAAATGAACTACATTTCTTGGAGACTGAAAAGAAGAATGTCACAGTACATAGGTCAGAAAACACTGCAGTAACAACGGATCAGCAGCCTACAAGTTATAGAAAAGAAAGCAACATGTAAATGACTTAGGTTTTTGACCTTTAGATTTGGTTCGTCCCCAGTATGGAGCAAGACCAATACTTCATAGCATATTAACAGACACGAAAGTTTATGTATCCCTAAGAAGGCTTTATATGTATTTTTTATCTGCCACTAATAAGAATCTTAAAGCATAATCATATATTCTCAAGTTTATGATTATTTTTCCTTCCCACCCTTTAAAAACTCCTACTACAAAGAAATACACAAGCAGAACAAGCTAAGTTTGTAATTAAGATTTTTACTATTCTATTAATTTCAAAATAGTTTCCTTACTTTTGCTCCCATATCAAGAAGTTGCTGCTCAAAGGCTTTCGAGTAATTTTCTGTTCTGCTAGATGACCAAACTTCTACAAATGCACATATACCTGGAATCAGAAGAGGAAAAACAATAGATATTTAAGTGCACTGTGGTAAAACTAGTTAAATTGTCCCTCAGAAAATAATTTACTTTAATACTCCCTTCATACACACTCAATAGCAAGAATAGCTTTGAACAATATATCAGGTATTACCAACAGAAATTTTTTTGAGTATTTCCGCCCATTAAATTACTTGCAATGAACTAGTAAGATTGGCACTCATTAAACAATTTCTCACTTTTTAGAACACATTACAAACTCAGTAGGCAAAGCAGTATCTTTCCATGGCTGGTTTTAATCATTGCTAATCTTCAAGTAAATAAAAAACGTTAAGATAAGTTGTCATAGCACAAGCTACAGAAGATGTAGAAATAAATATGGAATTACCCTTTCAGCAAATCTCAATAAAAATATGTAGAAATAACCATTCCCAACTGACTTAAAATTCCACCTTAACACATCAAATCACCTTGAAATTAAGTATCTATCACAAAGGCTAACAAATTTTCACGTCACCTGCTTTACAGAAGTTTAGATATATTGCACGTGAGCAGCTTACTTCATCAATCAGATTAAGAATCTCTCTAAGGAATAATAGTCTTGGCTCAATAAGTCTTAAAAAATTAAAAAAAAAAAAAAAAACAAAACAAACCAAACCAACAACAACAACAACAACAAACCCACAATCCCAGATGTATTGACACAGAAGGATAAGCAAATGAAACTTTTAATAATCCCTTTGTTAGTGTGACTTCAGATGACCTATAGCTGCATTGGCCATACCAATTTCCCCTTTTGAATAGCAGATCAGGAAAATTCCAGAAAACTGGAAGAATGCCAGCTCACCAAAACCAACTTAAAGCAAACTGCAGGCCAGGTGACACGCAGAGCTCAGGAATAAAATTTAAAGCTTTGATTTAAATGTAAAAGGTTCATCCTCAGCAAAAACTGTTTAACTGTCTCCTCTGATGGGGAGCGTGTATGAGGCAAAGGTTTAAATTCCCCTGTGAAAAAACAAAAAAAAAACAAAAAAACAAAAAAACAAAACAAAAAACAAAACAAAACAACAACGAAAAAACACCCACTGGCATTCACTGATGCTTGCTGAACATTTATAGAGACCAAACAGTGGATGTGGGCACTATGAGTGGCACGTTTCAGTAGCGGTGACAGTGGGTCACCTCCAATGTGTGGCATGCAGATTCTTGTTCATCACTGCCAAAACGTATAGCTAATGGTGGTAACTATGTTGCAGTACAATATTTTGATATTTTGTACTTAAGAATTTGCTCTTTTGAATAGCGTTACTGTATCTGTTGTAGCTGTAGGTGGCATTTCTTTAGGAGTTACATACATTAGGTAATGAATTGGAAGTTCATACAGGTCATCCATGTTCTTAAATGTAAAAGACAATTACATTCTAACTGCAGTACTTTCATAAAGATTAATATTTTTTTAATTGCTACAAATTAGAATCATAGAATCACTCAGGTTGGCAAAGACCTTAAAGATCATCGAGTCCAACCACAACCTTACATACTACCCTAACTATAACAACCCTCTGCTAAATCATGTCCCTGAGCACCACATCCAAATGGTTTTTAAACACATCCAGGGATGGTGACTCAACCACCTCCCTGGGGAGCCTATCCTAGTGCTTAAGTTTTAAACCTATAAAAGAAATAGGAAACCTAGGACACCTCCTTAGCCAAATCAGATGGAAATAAATGACTATCAGTGCTCTAACTTCAGGTGCTGATGGGACCATAAGCCTAACCAATTCCCTCATTTCACCCAAGTTCATTTTAGCACTTGACCAGGACAGCTTTTTGCTGGCTGTTCTTTTGTGAAAAACATTGTGCCCACATCCAAAACAACCAAGGTTTTCTTCTCCTTCTTCTTCATCAAATGCTTTAAAACCTTCACAGCTGCAGTCCGCACCTACCAGTGAATGCCATGCTGGGAACTCAGAGAGTTCTCTTGAAAGCAGCACGAACTGGCCGTAGGACCAAAGGGATGCTTTACAGTAACTGCCCCATTTAGGAAACAACGAAGAAAACACTTTGTAGCTTTTGCATTGCAGATACAAGGGAAAGCCAGAAAGTCCAGAACTTTTTTGAGCTAGAAGGGCTTTGAAAGAGGTAGGTTAACAGGCCTGAAAGGTGGCATCTGTAGTGCGAAAGCGACAACCAACAGGGTCACCCAACGAGGGAGAAATTTCGCAAGACGCAAGGCTCGCCGAGCCAGGGCCCAAGGCGTCGCGAGGACGGGGCAGCAGCAGCAGGGCAGGAAGAGACGGCCGCCGGCACCGAGAGCCGCTCGCCCGGGTACACGGACCCCAGAGCGGCCGCGAGGCAGCACGGCACTGCCCGCCCCGTCCCTTTTCTTCCTGCGACTGCGGGGCGAGCCACGCCAGAGAAGGCCGCGCAGGAACGAAAAGACCGCCGCCATCCGGGCGCTCACCGCAGCCCCAGGGCTGACAGCCCCGAAGGGAAGGCCGCGTGGAAGCGCCCGCTGCAGCCCCGGAGGCTGCCCCCGCAGAGCCCGGCCGCTACCTTTCAGCACGGACTCCATCAGCGGCTCCGGTACCCGCCACCGTTCAAACTTCCTCCGCGCGGCTCCGCGGCGCCTGCGCGGTGCTGCCGGGCTCTGCCGCGCCTGCGCGGTGCCGCCGGGTCACCGCCTACTGGAGCGAGAGTTGTGGCGGGAGGGGCGATGAGAAGGTGGCTGCAGGCGGAAGCGTGAGGAGAGGTGTTACAAACAGAGGGCGGTGACACACTGGCTGCCCAAGGAGGTTGTGGACGCCTCATTCCTGGAGGCATTCGAGGCTAGACTGGATGTGCTCTGTGGCAATAGAGATGCAAAATAAAGGTGCTACACTAGTACTTCCTTCAGAACCGTTCCTAAACTATGGGTAGATAAGGAAACATCTGTCTGTTTTTAATGGACTTTGAAAGCATGTAATGAAGCTGGAATGTTAGGAAATTAGTAAGCAGAGAAAATTCTGTCTCTAAATAGATTTTGGAGGGTAATATGCTGAAATGTACAATTAGAGTGGTATGCTCTTATTCCCTACTTGGTGAAGACAGTGAAGGTTAGTGACTACAGGAATCTGGTGCAGCTCATTACCAGAGCAGACATCAAAGAACACTGCATTTGGGTTACTCACCTTTTTGTGATGGAGACAAATACGTACGATACCAAAAGTATCCAATGAATGTATGGTGTTTTGTCTTAAATGGTTGAAATTTTGACCTCACAGTTGCTTCAGGCATTATGAGAACTTCATTTTCTGGTAATGGCAAAAATTCACATTTTCATGAGCAGTCGGTAGTCCTTATGCAAATATTATCTTTCAATTCTTCCTTAGCATTCATTGTCCCGCAGTATTTGCAGAAAGTAGGAATACATTTTTGCAGTTACTATTTTATCAGTTTGAATACATGAGGATGTTTTGGCTCTTGTGAGGCAATGAACTCCTGCAAATGGCAATGAATGGCAGAGGAATAAACTTAATGTAAGTGCCCACTTAACAGACTTGCTAGACTTGTTGATGCACAATTTCATGGTGTACATAAACAGGGGTTGTAGCATAAGGTGGAGTGATTTCTGTACAGCCAGTACAACATGAAAATTACAGAATACTGCAAAGTGTAGAAAGGTCTGTTACGTCTAAAAAGGGAAGACCAGTTAAAGTAGCATTTCACTTGACTTCCTAAATGAAGGAGTAGATCACGTTCCTAAGAGCTTATAGTCCTACGAAATTCTAAATATTTCCTAAACATCCAAATAGTCTTGAAAAAACAATTGGAAAAACAAAGCAACAATGGAGCAGTTATACTAAATTTAATGAAGAGGAGCAGTATTCTCAAGTACTTATTTGATAATTCTGAATATTCCCTCTCCTTGATTGATTAAAATTGGAAGGGATCTTTAAGAAGGGATACTGTAAGGCTATAACACAAGGACAAGACTCATTCCTCTGAAACACGGTTCATATAGTGGGCTACTTCTTAAGACTTACATTGAATCATATGCAAAATATCTAGACCAATTAAGACAGTTTGTACGTATTAAGTATATTCTAGATTTGCTTATTATCAGTAGGTGTACTTTGGTTGACTGGTTTGTTTTGTGGGCTGATTTTCAACTACGACAAACAACATTTGGATCTTTTTTTATTTTTGTCCATTCTTAAGTTTCCAAGTGTCAACCATGAATCTCAGATAAACTGAAAAGGCTGGGGTGTGTAGCAATACCCCATAGTAGCAAATCTTGGTGAGACAATCTGCATATACAGCACCTGAGTGTTTTTAAACCAGAATGTACTTGAAGAGGTCTTCACTACAATGCTTCTTGGCTATTATAGGTGCAGAGATATGAATGAATGGTTAGCGGGGCTGCAAAATGTGCACCCTTCCTTCATGGACAAAGCTCTAGAAAGCAGTTACGCTTGTCCATTTAAACCATTATGATCTCTTCTGTCAGTGTGGGCTTCTCAGTTTATCAGTAAAGCTAACTGTTCTTGTGAGTTCTTTTTGCTGTTTGAATGTGGCTTTCTTAAATAGCATACAAAACTGTAGTGTGTCAGTTACTATGTACTGTTATGTTAGTACTGAACTTCTAGAACTTTACATAATCTATACTAGAATCTTATGTATGTTGTCTCATGGCCACTTAATTGTACTCCGATAGACTAATATTTCCAGCTAATGAGCTCTGTCATTGCAGCTGCTTGTTTATTAGTTTGTAATTTCATTGCATTCCAATATGCGAGCTCATCCAATTGTTTCTATATTCCAGTCTGCGTCTCTTTTAATAAAGCCTCTGTTTAAACCATCTGAAAATTTCATTAACACACACTTTAGTTCCAAGCTCATAATGAAAGTAACAGTGTTAGTAGACTGAATCATAGCTGGATCTAAAACTTTAGTGGAATTAAGACTGGATCATTCAGGATCTCCTTTAGAATATTGTCTTTGGCTCTCCCTCTGGTATGAACTATTTTACCCCACACACTTTTCCAGCTTAACTTCTTGAACAACTCCATTTCTTTTTCATGTGAGGTAACAATGTACCACATATCAAACTCTACGTAATACTACATATTTCAGCAGTGCAGATTCAATCTCTATTACCTTTGTCCAGAAAAAAAATTCCTTAGCAAAACCAGATATTATGGTTGTGTGATGACAGGAATCCTAAGTTATGTCATTGACAATTTTTGTTTCTCTCTTCCATTGGAGGCCATTTATTGCCCCCCAAATACTTTTTCCTTTCTCTTGTCTTAGTTGAGATAAAAGTTTGGAAAATCATTCTTGACAAGTTTGCAGCAGAAAGATATCTTTTAGTACAGGAGTAGCCACCTCTGACTGGTTAGAACTGAATTTTGATGGTGCACAGTGGAATTACAGGCTAGGAAACTAACCGGAATGGTGCTAATATAGCTCAAAATTGGGGCTATACAGGTGAAAGGATACTCCGACATTTTTCAAACTGAACTGTTATCTGACACTCATGCTGGCAATAGTTTTTGCAGAACAGTTGTAGATAAGATAGAGGAGTCATGCCTCAATAGTCTCAGAAGAATTCTAGTCTCATTGCTTCTCCACAAGCAGAGTGCTTCCTGAGATTGCCAACATTGGCTTTATGATTCTATTCCACAGAATAATGAGAGCTTTTCTGTTTTGTGTAGTAGTTCAGTCTAAACAGAAGGGGAATTTCTTGTCTCATATTTTCTCTGTTTATTTTAGTATATGTTTTGTAGAGTGCTAGTACATAGCGGTAAAGCATTCAAACAAACAAACAAACAAAAATTTTAATAGCCAAAGTAACTTTGTGAACAATATTAGAAAAAGAATGTTGCATGAGCTTGTCAGATAGATGAGCATTTATCATTGGCAAAAACCTTTACTGGTAGTTCTTATTTGTCTTTGACTGTATGTGGACAAAATTACGAGGGACATTTATTTCTTGTCATAAAGAAAGGCTAATATTATGGATTATGTAGTCTCACAAAGTTGTTAAATGTTCTCATCATTGAGATGGCTGTTCATTTTCTAATGCTGATGTTCATGATCGAGAAAATGACGTGTTTAGTGTGAGAACTTTTTCAAGGAAAGAGAAAACAGTTATTATTTTTTCTTTCAGCTGAGGCAGAGACATTAATTTTATTTTCTCTTTCTATCCTGTAATTTAAGAAATCGCCCCTTTTAGATCCATAACAAACCTGCTGACACAGCACTAGCTTTAGTTTGAGTCTGCAAAATGCTGATAATAGGATAGAGACATACCCTTGTAAATTTTAACTCACCCAGTGAGACAATGTCTTTGACATACTGTGATCCTAAAGGCCTATCACAGAAGAAAAACACAGCACCATGCTGAAAAATAACAGTCCATCATATAACTGAGAGCATGACTTGACAACATGCTAATAAGCAGATGTCTCTGTTGTTCATGCTGTTGTGGAAAGCTTATGTATCTGCCCTCCAGACAGCTTTTACTGCCTGTGGTTCAGGCTATGATAGCAGCTGTAAAGGGGTGGAAAAGCTAGTTTATCTGACCTCAGTATAAAATTCTCTGTTGAAGGTTTATGATATTCTCAAGCAATGAAGTACTGGACTACTGACCAAAGACCCCATGCTTTTCATCCAGTTTTTGTGGAGATGCAGATGTACACTATGGAAGATAGCATTAAGGAAGTGTATCCAAAATACTTAATGATTCTATTCTTATTTGGTAAATCAGTACCAAAGATACTATTTAAAAATACTGTCCTTTTGGGTATGTTCAGGCTCATCTTGGTGATACATGTGAGAGCAATTAAAAAAATTTCCACCTCCTGCTGTGAGCTCCACAGTTTATGTGAGTCTCAGGAAAAGTGATGGTAGGGTAAGGTTGGAGTTCAGGCTGTGAATTGAGGCAGGAAAGAAGCTGACTCAGCTCCTGAAGAAGTACATAAAGAGTACAGTAGGAGGTGTACATTTCTTATATCTTCCTGACATGAATGATCGAAGCTCATTCGAAGGCATCTAAAGTGTTTTACTTCTGGAGTGTAGAGCTTCAGGCATGTCTTGTGGATGTAGTAGACATAGAAAGACATAGACAGTTACTGTTTCTTCAGAAACAGACTAGGAGCACTATTATTTGTATAAGTATAGTTTGCCCACATCCTGTCAGCAGATCTTGTTTCCCAAGTTAAATAAGGTTTAAGTTCAAGTTCAGAAAAGTGTGACTGGCATACTTAAAAGTATGGAATAGATTCCATATGATTAAATGGACCTGGAAATGGACTGGAAAACAGCCAAGCGAGAGAAGATACAATTTGTGCCTACAGAATGATGAGTTGCCTGGAGAGTACAACTGAAAAGAGTGGCTTTCTCTTCCCAATAAAGAAGCAGTAGCATCAAAAGAAAGTAGTGGAAGGCAGATGCAGAACAAACAACAGAAAGTGCTATTTTTTTTTCCTGTGGAAGAGGAACTTAGAATGAAGATCTTGCAGACAGATGCTTTGAGTTCCAAAAGTGGACACAGAATTCAAATGGAAGCTGGAAGGAAGGCATATGGGGCCTACTAAATATATCACAAGTAGGATTAGTTTAGAAAATCCTGAAGCCATAGATAGGTTGAGAGTCTACCTGAGA